GGCGGAAGACGTGGACTCAACAGCATAGGGCCAAATGAGGAGTTGGCATGATTCTGGCGTTGAGCGTAGAAGCCTCGTAGTTGGGCAATGGTTCGGAGGCGCAAATGCTGACTGCGCACGATGCTGCACGCCTTGTTTTCTTGGGGCAGCGCGCCTTCTGGGGGCGGGCTCGGCCAATGACGGTCGAACGGAGCCGCACCCGAATCATGTTCCTGGGGCGGATCGATCCTGCAGACGAAATTGTCCAGATACGTCCCGTTACTGCAGATATACTGTGGGTATTCACTGCGACATCAGCATCTGAAGCCGAAAGAGAATGTTTCAACGCCAGAATCGACGCAGAAAGAGACATATGCCCGGGCATCGAAGTTCAAGCGGCGCCAAACCTCGTCTCGAGAGCACGCCGATATGCTCGTGCATTTCGCGCGCTATGGAATTAGGTGCAAGCCACTGCCAGCCTCGTGGCAGCTGTGTCCCGGGAGCGCAAAAGAGGGCGTATCAGCCTCATATCGAGTCAGGGGCCTGGGCGCGAACATCGTCCCATGCGGAGGATATCGCACATGGATCCAGCGGTGTGGCTTTTGGAACCGATGGAGCGAAGGATTCATCGTTCGAGCATGTAGGCGTCATACGTGAACGAGTCGGTACATACCCTAGTGATACCCACGCCGCAGTCATCAAAGAGTGGCACGAGTGGGTAGCAGATGAGTTCTGCAAAATACATCGGCACGCGTAAGCTCCAGTACCCTGGTGTCGGCGCTATATGACCGCACCCAGTGCCGCGAGAACTGCACGTCCGACTTTACGAAGGTTTGTTGAACTGTGAACACTGCACGTCAGCGTGCAACAGCCACACCGCTGTCAACGGGTCCGTGATATCCGTGATGTCGGCGTCCGCGGAGATAATGCGTAGCATTTGTCGGGTGCCGATGTTCAAGCGGCACAGTCATTGTGATTCCTTCGCAACATAATTAGATCGAAATGCCCCCGTAGTTTTGAGTTCGACGACGGAGGACACGGGTGGGGCGGAACAGCAATGGATCGCTGCAGGGTGACAAAGATCCGATGCTAGGCCCCGTGCGGTCGGCGCTAGCGTGGGATGCCTGATCTGACCTGGCCGCATGCACAGGCAGACCTTCCCTCCACAACCAAGAACCCTTGGATCAACACCATGTTTCGCGTCGATTGCTACATTCAACACATGGTTTCAGGGTCTAGAAAGTTTCGACGATTTAAACAGCCCCCCGTTATTGCCGGACAATACTGGTTGGTGCCTCCCGAAAGCTTCCAACTCGGCCAAGACCTAGCTCCCGTGGCTACAGGTGGCACGACTCGTCCATTGGATGTCCCTGTGACCTGAGACATGACCGTGTTCTTGTGCAAGGGACTGCCATACTCGTTGTCGTGGCGGCATGTTTGTACTGCCGGCGAGGCGGAAATTGGTGTCCCGTCAGCCAGCAACCAACCAAGAACCATCTTTGCTACCGACCGAATGGGCGGAATGGATTTCTCCAAGGGCATTGGGATGCACTCGAAATGCCTGGGCGGATCATGATGGAGCGAACCCGTCCAAGGGTTCGTCATTGATGCCCGGATCGTGCGGTTGGCAGAACCTTTTGTCGTGAGTTTGGGTTCCACCCTTCACGGAGAGTTCGTGCGCCGCATGCAAGACCCCGCTGATGCGCCACGATTATCGTGCCTTGCGTACGGTCCGTGTACAAGCCGAGCTTCGAAGCCAATGCGACACCAGCGTCGTGACGGTAGTCAGCGCGCCATTGCGCTTCATGACATGGATGGAGCTAACGGCCATGTGCGCAGCCCCACTCTTCACTGAACATAACCCTCGAGACCCTATCTTAGTGGCAAGCTCTCCATCTCGTTTCTTTGACCTGGCCCGTCTATCCGCAGCTCGTCAATCCTCCACGCCCACATGTCTCGCATACTTCCCCGGGCAGGCCCACGATAATCCAGTATGCAGCTGCCTCCGGTGGATGTCCTGTTGGGTTGGCCGACTCCGAATTACATTGACCCGGAAACGCGCGGCCCTGCCCTCCTCATCGTCAACAGCATCCTCATCGCACTAACCATCCTCGTTGTGATTGCGCGGTTATACACCCGTATAGTGATCAAGAGGTGGTTCGGTATTGACGATATCTTCATCCTCTTTGCGCTGCTCTTCACGTGCGGTCTCACTGCTGTCGTTCTCCTGGCAAACCTCCGATATGGATGGGATAGGTGAATAACCCGATCCCCATTCGCATAGCATACAGCTAATCATCAAACCACTATAGACATGTTTGGGATATACCCTTTCACATGTTCGTTCCGGCCTACAAAATCGCCATGACAGCCAAGGTCGTCTTCACAGCGGCCGCGAGCTTCACGAGACTCTCTCTGCACTGCTTCTACTACCGATTGGTTACAGACTCGGGGAAGACGTGAGTACTTTTGGCGTTGCTGTCGCATTATGATAGCCTTGCTAATTCGCTTAGATGGTTCAAGTGGGCGGTTCATGTCAATGTTGCCTACACACTCGGCATCTTGATATCGTTTCCCTTCATCGCCATCTTCTTCTGCACACCCATTAAGAACTATTGGACCATTGGCGCACCGGCAGACACTTGCATGGACGAGGGAACTGCGACTCTCATTTGCGGAATTATCAACTGTGTCGCGGATTTTCTTACTACCCTAACACCAATACCTTTGGTCATGGGCGTGAGTTGGCTCAATCCCATACGCAAGGCAAAACACTACTAACTGATCCCAGCTTCACATGCGTCTGCGTGAGCGCATGGCTGTCGCCGCGCTATTCGGTATGGGGCTGATTGTCTCTGCTGCTGGTATTGTGCGTACCTGGTTCATCTATCGGAGTCTCTTCAACAACGAGTACGATCAAACCTGGTACGCATATCCACTGTGGATTGCGGCCGCTGTAGAGATAGACTTGGGTGTAGTAAGTTATTACGTACGACTGCTCATCAGTGACACGATGCTTACTCGCCACAGATATGCGCCTCGGCCCCAGTACTAAAACCCCTCCTCGCGAAGATCCCCTTCAGTCTATCGCAATCCTTCTCAGGTGGCATATCCTTCAAGAAGAGCGCGAACTCATCAAAGACGCTAACCGCCAACGCATCAGCGTCGCATTCCTCCACGAACCGGAAATCCACAGCACCGCGCAATGCGCCAGAACTCGCGAACGACAAGGGCAACAGCTATGAGATGAAGCATTGGGCGGATACAGAACAGGATCTGGAACGAGGAAGCCAGGAAGCTATTCTGGAAGAGGAGGAAGCTCCCAAAACGGGCATGTCGCGCCTGTGGGGCAAGGTCCGCCCGAAAAGCAACAACGGAAATATGACTACGGACACCGACATGACGATCACTTTGACCAGCGAAGTGGAACTGCAAGTCGAGCGGATGAAGCAACGTCCGGCGCGGTACGAGACACACGGTGACCTTCACGAGAACCACATGCCATTACCACCGTTGGCACCGCGATCTAGCGGACACGACCGGTGACGCCACGATCCGACTTGCGCGATCAAACATGATAGCGACAACGTCCTCGAACCGACATCAAAGATCTCACGTCGCGCATCATGTACGCGCAAGCGGGAAACATAAAGTTACGACTGGCATATTGGGGGCGCTTACATCTTGGTGGATTTTTCTGCATCGCTTTAGCATATGATACCACGTTCGACGACTCTATCAAGGGTACCAACATAGACATCTCAGAATACAGACGGCCAGGACGCCGAATACATCAATAATCTCAGTGCGACGCGCCGCTTCGTCCACATGCTTGACGCGTGCATCCGTGTAGTGAGCGGCCCGCATTGGACGTCAATGACGGAAGGCTAACATGTCAGCAGTATGACAGCTCTTAGCTTCGCGCACAGGAATTTCAACGATCCAGCTCAACAACTTCGCACCCTCTATTCGTGAGAGAAGGCGTTCTGCGCCATCTTCATCCTGTCCACGGTACTCTTGGATCGCAGCCCTTGAGCTCACCCGGCGAACATCGGCCAGACTATTGAATGGACTCCAACCATCCAACTGCGAAAGCGCCGACCATGAGCATGCCGTAAGCGTCGGATCTGGCCCTGCAAACCTTCGCCGCGATACTATTAACACCAACGAGCTTCAAACTGCATTAACTACCTCACTTCGCGTTTCAGAACAACCATCCAAGGTTTACACGTCACACGCATACCTGTCGGCACTGTCACAAAAGGACGATCAAATCTAGAACGCCATCGGATGCGAATCCCGAGGCCAACTCGACTCATTGTGGACAGTGGAGCGTTCAGAACTGTAAAGAGTCACACTGCTTGTTATGGAAAGTTACGGAAGTGTTCTCACGTGTATGCGGCGTAACGGCGTGTGCTCCGACGGCTCTTGGAAACGCTAGCCCAGGTCTTGTCATCCGACTGATGTTCCTCGGCAAAGCTTATTTCTTCCGGCACTACAACCTTAAACCCTGCCCTCAGGGTGGGCGGGGGAGGCGGAGGGGCGGAGGAGGGGAGGATGGTGGATCTTTGGGTGTAAATGATAGAGAGCAAAGAGGGTGGATCGTGATGTGTTGTTGGAGGGTGGATGATGTGTGGGTGGTAAGCGCCTCGTCAAATGGGTGTTCCTCGGCAAAGCTTATATCTTCCGGAGCTACAGCCTCATACCCTGGTCTCCCCCGCAATCTACACAGCCAAAATACGGGGAGGGCAGGCGCCATAGGACCTGGAGTTGCAACCTCGTGACGTCCTTAGGCTGATAGAAGTACAGGCATCCTCGCTGTTGGAGGAGAAATTGTACTCCGTGCATTTCCAACTGCCTTTCTCATCTAGTCCACGGACGCAAATATGAATTATGTATATTGACACAGTAAGAACGAGGCTGCAGAGGCATTTGTTTAAATGTGGACGATGTACCAGTTCTCTGGTGATCCAGACGATCGCCCGGTTCTTCTCTCGTGGTAATAATAGTAACAGCCAGTCATGCCTTCACCATCCAAGATCGCCGCGCTTGGCCTTGTGGCTACGGGCTCTTTTGTAGCCGCTGGACCTTGCGATATCTACGCCTCTGGTAACACGCCTTGCATCGCCGCTCACAGCACCACTCGCGCGCTTTACAATGCCTTCAGCGGTTCCCTCTATCAGGTCAAGCGCGGATCCGATGGCGCTACCACCAACGTCGCACCTCTATCCGCCGGTGGTGTAGCCAATGCTGCAACTCAAGACAAATTCTGCGCCAACACCACATGTCTTATCACCATTATCTACGATCAATCTGGTCGTGGTAACCACCTCACTCAGGCGCCTCCAGGAGGCTTCAATGGCCCGGAAGCTAATGGCTATGACAACCTGGCCGGAGCCATCGGCGCACCCGTCACCCTGAATGGGAAAAAGGCATATGGTGTCTTTGTCTCACCGGGTACTGGATACCGCAACAACAAAGTCAGCGGTTCAGCGACGGGCGATGCAGCAGAGGGGATGTACGCCGTGCTCGATGGAACGCATTTCAACGACGCATGCTGTTTCGACTACGGCAACGCCGAGACCAACAATCTCGACACCGGTACGCAAACTCCCACACCCTCTCACTCATCTCACTAACAACCCCCACAGGAAACGGCCACATGGAGGCTATCTACTTCGGGACCAACACGATCTGGGGCAGCGGCGCCGGCTCCGGCCCCTGGCTAATGGCGGATCTGGAAAACGGTCTCTTCTCCGGCATGTCACCGAAGAACAACCCAGCGGACCCCACCCTCACAGACCGCTTCCTCACCACCGTCTTGAAGGGCGGCCCAAACAAGTGGGCTCTCCGCGGCGGCAACGCTGCATCCGGCTCGCTATCAACGTACTACAACGGCGCGCGACCCAGCGCCTCAGGCTACAATCCCATGAGCAAAGAGGGCGCGATTATCCTGGGTATCGGCGGCGATAACAGTAATGGAGCGCAAGGAACGTTTTACGAGGGCGTTATGACGACTGGGTATCCGAGTGATGCGACGGAGAACGCGGTGCAAGCCAATATCGTTGCGGCGAAATACGCGACTACGAGCCTGACCAGCGGACCCGCTTACACAGTCGGATCATCAATCTCATTCCGCGCCACGACTGCTGGATACACGGATCGCTACCTCGCTCACACCGGCTCAACCGTAAACACGCAAGTCGTATCTTCCTCCAGCACCGCACTGCTTAAGCGACAGGCTAGCTGGACCGTACGCGCCGGGCTGGCGAACAGTGCTTGTTTCTCTTTCGAATCTAAGGACACGGCTGGGAGTTACATTCGCCATTTCAACTTCGTGTTGCAGCTGCAGGCGAACGATGGATCGAAGGCGTTCAAGGAGGACGCGACGTTCTGTCCTCAGTCAGGTTTCTCGGGATCGGGAAGTTCAATAAGGGCGTGGAGATACCCGACGAGGTATATTCGTCACTACAACAATGTTGGGAATATTGCTAGTAACGGCGGTGTTCATGAGTTTGATGCCGCGGCGAGCTTCAATGCGGATGCGACGTGGAGTGTTGGTACGGGGTTGGCTTAGGGGGGTGGTAACGGGATGGGGGTAGTATTGGCTTGGGATGTTGTTGGGGTGGGCTGTTCACGTAGGGGAACCCCTCACAATGGTTTTTGTAAGGGATTTCCGTACGTAAACAGCCCATTTCTTCAATATCCCAGGCCAAGAAGAGCTGGATACTTTGGTTTTAAACTCGAATAACATCTCGATAGGGAGTTGTAACACTCGAAAAACCCGCCTAACTCAGGGCTGCATTGTCTGTTCATCGGCTTTTTCGGGTGCTACGACCATGTGTCTTGGATCATACGAAGATTACTTTCACAACGCATACATCAGCCAAATATTCCTCGTACAACACTTGACATCTATCGTACATTCACCATTCAAACATCATACCAACACAGCAACTTCACACCGTCAAAACCACTCGCGTCCCATAACTATATATCAAGACTTCACTACTACTAAGAAACCCTCACCACGGCAGCGCGCACTCCCGCTACATTCAATCACTCCTACTCCACCAAACAACAGACCCACAATCCTTTCACGACATGTCTACAGCCACAGCACACGTGAAGCGTCCTTTCAAAGGTGGTGGCGCTCTAAAGGCTCGAAATCGTGTCAAAGAAGAGCTTGAAAGCGAGAAAAAGTCGATTCACCAAGCACCAGACCCGCAATCCTTTCACAACATGACCACAGGCACAGCACACGTAAAGCGTCCTTTTGTAGGTGGTGGAGCTTTCAAGGAACGTAGTTTGGCCAATAGTGCACTTGAAAGCGAGAGAAAGTTGCGAGAGTTGATGGGCATGTTGCTTGAAGCTCGTACTACCACTACGTCTATTCTAGCCCGTTTGCTTGAAGCTGGTGATGACGAGAAAGAGTGGGAGGATATTGCGGACGGGGAAGATTGTGAAGATATCGATGATGAGGACGAATGGGAGGATATCGATGACGACGAAGAGTTGGAGGAAGTTGAGAATGAGGATGATTGGGAGGATATCGATGATGACGAAGACTGGGAAGACACTAAGGCCGCTGAGTCTGTATTATTAAGTTCGTTGCGAACATTGATGCAGACAGCCACACTCTCAAGTCCATCGGGCCCACCAACTCAAACACATATACTACCAGAGGCATCGCGATACGACTCCGAAGATAGCTACTCATCTGACGACGGTTCTTCTGACCTCATTAGCGACCCCACTAACGACAACTCCTCTATCGACAGCTCTTCAGACGACGACCTTTCATGCGACAGCTCTTCAGACGACAATTCCTCCTCTAACTCCTCCTTATTCTTATCCTCCTTCTTATCTAACAACCCCCCTACCAAAGACTACCCCCCTATCGGCCACCTATCCTTCGCTACCATCGAAGAAGCCCGCACCGCTTACTATTCAATGTTAGTGAAGGTGGAGAATCTACTTGTAAAGTGGTATCACAAGGACGATGTAACAGCACTTGTCAAGACCTTGATCGAATCTGCTCAGGCGTCGTATGCCGAGCAGGAGGAGTTTTGGAAGGATAGGCGCATAGTTCAGGAGTGGTTCGGAGGTATAGATAAGTGAACGTATGTTGTACTAGCTATGATAGGATGCGATGGAAACGAGGTGGTGGCCGAAGAAAGCATCGTGGATGCGGGTATGTATTTGCCCGCCTGTTCTTGCAGCACTACAGTATTGTTTGCGCAGCGAATGCAGTAGTCATTAAGGAGAGATTATGCACAAACAGTCTCTTTCGCAAAGTCCATCTATGGTGCAGTGCAGTGATGGTGCGGTCTTCGGCATGACCTCGGGATGCAGCGACGAGTGGCACTGACACTAATCCATTCCTGGACTGGTCCAAGGTCCCGACAGGCGCAACCAGACATCCGGTTTCAGCGCACGACGCAGTCCAACAATCCAACATATCTCCACTCTGTGACTCTACCCACGATGTAACTTGAACCAGTCATATAATGAATCGCTCTTCCCCATAAATAGCGAAGGAACAAGAACCACAAGCACATTTCACGAGCAGTTCTTCTCCTCAGCGGCATTCCTTTTGGTGTAGCCTGTTATCGACCTGTTCTAATCAGCCATCATGAGCAGCCCTCCGCAGATCTGCATCACAGACATGCCTGACCCCACACAACCTCAGGTAGACTTCCTAGAGTCGACATGGTTCAAAACGCATGGCAAAACTCAAGCCTTCCCTTCTCCTGACCACGTGCGCTCATTCATACAGCCGCGCCAGGGCGCCCGCCCAGTGACATTCGCGCAACTCGGTCTCGTCGTCAAATTTGGGGTCGATGTGCATACTTCAGAAGGTGTGGCTCTCTGGATGATGAACAAGCTTCTAAAGGATAAGGTCCCCGTGCCTGAAGTCTACGGTTGGAGGGTCGTGGAGCGGGCAGGCAAAAGTAGCGAGACCTTCATTTACATGCAGCATATACAAGGACCTACGCTTGAACGGATGTGGGAATCGATGTCTTTTGCGGATAAAAGCTCGGTCTGCAGTGATCTTCGGGCCATGACGTCGTGTTATCGCGAGGTTAGATTCTCTGGGTTGCAGCCACACATTGGTGAGTGTAATCCCATCAGTTTGCAACGCCTCTAACAGTTCACACAGGGTCTATCCGCCAGGAAGCTGGATCGGATCGCTGTCTTGAAGGTCTGCCATCACTAAGACCCTTTCCTACTCGGGCTTCTTTTCACGACTGGCTGTCCTGGCTATGGCGACGCGATGTGCCAAACCCAAAGAGCATCGAAGATCCCTGGCGACAGCTGCTCCCTGACGAAGGACCTATAGTTCTAACGCATGGTGATTTACGGCCGGCTAACATTATCGTTACGGCCCAGTCACCTGTCCGTGTGGCGGCTATCGTCGACTGGGAGCAAGCGGGGTGGTACCCAGACTATTGGGAGTATTGCAAAGCCGCTTTTACGGCATCACATGATGGGGAATGGCGCGGATGGATTGACCAGTTTTTGAAGCCTCAGGAGGCTGCCTTGGAGGCTTTCGATTTCTATACCATGGCTCTTGGGAAGTTCTGATAGTGAGCGATAGAGCAAGAGTTCAAGGCTTAGAAAAATTGTATTATTTTATATAGTATGGTTCGATGACCAGCACCGATGTGACAAAATTGACAAGCGTCAAACGAGGGTAACGGATCCAGCGAGACGGATCAAGCCTTCACCCGTAGACGCATACATGGACTATGACAAGGTAAAGGAATTATATCACAGCCTGCATCCGTGGAGAAGAATCGAGCTCTGGCATGCTCGAATAGCATCCCAAAACGACCTGGCCCCGCGACAACACTGCACCTGAGCCGATGGATACATCACTCGTTCTGTGGCCCTGCTTGCTCTGCGGCCTGCTGTTGACGCTCTGCAGCAGGTCGAAGCCCGATACCAACATTGGGGGGGTCTCGCCTTGCCTGGACCGTTTCAATGGCCGATTCCTGAAGATAACCTTTCTGGACGAGGCGGCGCACATAGTCCATCGTCCACTCCTGGCATCTACGGTTCGTAGTCTACCTGATTCAGCGCGCTAGTCTAAGAAAGACTGTGTGTTACTCACATCGTTCACTGGTGCGAGGAAGTTTTCGCTCTTCCTAGGTGGCGGGACCTGCTCAGCTATCTTCTCGAGAGTACCCATTGCGGTGTAGTGGTCCATCCTTTCGCCGTCCCACTTGTGAATCAAATCCTCTTGCACTTCACCGAGCGGTACCAATTGTGGTGCGCGAGCTGTCTTCGTATGGTCATACTTGCGCTTGAATTCCAGCTTGAAACCTGACATTGGTGTTCCAACAACGTGGATCGCTGTCCCAACAAGACCGTCCTCTTCGTCTGGCGCCCAAATACCGAAGTGAGCTCGCTGGTTCTTTGGAGCGGGCCAGATGATCAGATACAAAGTTCGTGTGGACATTGTGATGGGTATTTAGATGAATGGATTGCAGAATTGAGGATAATGGACAATGGCTACTGGTGATGCAAGACAATACCATTATGCTACTTATACCACCGTATGAGCCATAGGAATCAGCTACTACAGTCAGGCTTCTCAGTGAGCCACCGCTTTGAGCCATTGCTATGAGCCATCGCTCTGAGCCATGAGTTTGAAACACCAACATGAGCTACGGTAACGGGTCCACATAGAGTGGACTTCGAGTCACTACGACAACTCAAGCTCCACGACCGATACACTAACGCTGAGGGTACACACAGAGCCATGTGTCTCAGCTAAGAGTCAGAGATACCGAGGGAAAACTAGGCAAGAGCTTGAGCCCGTAGAAACGTCACGCTCTCGGCATCAGTTGGTGATTTGTGAGCGTTTGGCTGCTGCCATGGTGTAGATACTAAAAGTAACGCTAAATAGATCTATAAATGCCATGAGTTACCAGATGCGTGTTATCAATGGACTTGTTAGCTTCGGTAGTAATGAGAAACTAATGTTTATGAAGTAAGTATGTGGGACGTGCTTTATGAGAAGAAAATGATGTGGAGAAGGACGAACAGAACGGACTCCTACAGACTAATACTGGTACAAAGCTACCGTGGTACCGATCGCTACAGAACAGATAGAATGCAGAGTAGGCGGACCAACATGCCAAGAGTAAGGCAAGAGGGGAGACGCCGAGAGAATAACCAAGATCCTTGAAGACGAACTTGGACTGAGGAAGCGGCGATATACCAGTCTCAAGGAAACGAGTACGCAGTAGGGCAGTTGTCGAAATTCATTAATTAAAAAAGGTCGGTGCAAGCAGCCCCAAAATATCTTCTCTTGTGAGTGAACAAAGCAATATGGACTTGATCGAGCGGACGGAACACAAAACCCTTTACTCCAAAAAGGCCCACCAATGTCCCACAATGAACATACTGATACGTACGAAGAAAGGGTATACCGAGTACGATTTCTGTAACCCAGTAGTAGCATGGACTCATTCCAAGTCGCATCGCCTCGCCTCGTCTCTTATCACCTCCTGGTCTTCCTTGCAATATACCAAACAACCAAATTCCCCTTGCCACGCATCCCTAGCAGTTGCACCCACCAGGCCCCTGAGTCTGGTTCGCCTCAGGCCTGAGGTTAACGCCCTGTCGTTGCTGGCCCGGTCTCAGGTTCCTGGGTCCCGCCTGGTCGATGGGCAGTTTCTTCGCGATAGCCGTGAAGAGCTCCTTCACGTTCTCGCTTGTCTTGGCCGACGTCTCGAAGAAGAGGAGGCCGGCTTCGCGGGCGTATTGCTCGGCGTCGGCGGTGGAGATGGCGCGCTTGTCGGGGGATTCGGTCACGAGATCGAGTTTGTTGCCGGCGAGGGCGATGATAATGTTTTCGTTGGCTTGGCGTTGGAGTTCTTTGACCCAGGCTTTTGCTTTGTCGAGGGAGGCCTGGGGGTGTTAGTCTGGGGAAGGTGGAAGGTGAGGGATAGGGACGTACGGCCTGTGTGATGTCGTAGACGACGACGGCGCAGTTTGCGTTTCGGTAGTACATGGGCGCGAGCGACTTGTAGCGCTCTTGGCCGGCGGTATCCCAGATCTCGAACTTGACCGTCGTGTTCTCATCGAGGGCGATGGTTTGGGTGAGGAAGGCGGCGCCGATGGTGGATTCCCGGTAGTCGTCGAATTGGTCCTGCATACATTAGTCCTCGGAACATGTCTGGACATGTGGTATGGCGTACCTTGACGAAGCGCAATACTAGAGACGACTGCGGCATGTTAGCTTATGTCATGGCTGCCTTGATAGGCCTGCGCACCTTTCCGACGGCGGATTCACCTGGGCAGGTTAGTCATGTCTTCATACACATATCATAGTAATCTCGTACCCAACAGCACCAGCTTGAACTGTGCGAATCTGGAGCCTCCGGGCCGTTGGCCTTGCTGCATCCTGGCCGACATGATGGGGGTGACGCGGCGCTAGCGGGTTGTGGCGGAGGGGGCTGGTGTAGAGTGGGCGAGGGTGGTGGTGCGAGTAGTGGGCGGTCAAGGCGGGACCGGGTCGGGGTATGGGTGAGAGAGGCGTGTTGGGGTGTGGTGAGGGTGAAAGAGCTGGATGGTGCTGTGACGAGGTGCTGCGTCTGGTGCTTGGCCCTAGCGCGCGAGTCGGGGACCCTTGGCCGCAATGGCCGCCATGACGAAACCTCCCGTTTGAGAAAACACATCCAAACACATCGCGCCAAACGCCATACTCACCACCACGCCAGATCCCCGTATACACCTCGTATAGCACACACGCCCAGGTGGACAAGATTATCATGAGCGTCGCTCTCCCCTACCGCGACATCAACGTCCACTCGTCGCCCTCGCACTACGCCTTCTCGTCGCCCTCGTCGCCCTCGGCCCCTACACTCGTGGTAGACCGTCCGTCAGGTGACATCCGCCTCCACGATGGCAAGCTGCTGGGCTCCAAGCGTGTGTCGAGCATTGCCGGCATCCTGGGCATGATCAAGCTGCGACTAGGTATGCCTCTCCTGCACAGCACTAGGGGACACGAATGCTGATGCACGTGAAGACAAGTACATCATCGTCATTACCAAGGCCCAGCCCATGGGCCGGATAAAGGGCCACATGATCTACAAAATAGTCTCGACCGAGTTCCTCTCCCTGCGCGAGAAGCCGCTGCACGACGCCGACGAGGACAACTACCTCAGCCTGCTCAAGACGCTCATCAAGACGTCCCCGCTGTTCTTCTCCTACTCCTTCGACATCACCAACACCTTCCAGCGCCAGGCCCACCTCGACCCCGCAACGCCCCTGTGGAAGCGCGCCGACGACCGCTTCTACTGGAACCGCTTCGTCTCCAGCGACCTCATCGACTTTCGCGGAGGTCTCAGCGGCGGATATGGCAGGCACTCGAGCGGACACCAGCCAGGCGCGGACCCCTACATCCTGCCCGTCATGTACGGAATGCTCGAAATCAAGAACACATCCATCAAGGGCACCCCTCTCACCTTCATCCTCATCACCCGCCGCTCGCGCCTCAAGGCCGGAACCCGCTACTTTTCGCGCGGCATCGACGAGAACGGCAACGTGTCCAACTTCAACGAGACGGAGCAGACCATCATCCTGAACGACAACGCATCGGGCGGCCCCGGCGGGTTCGGCTCAAACCAGAACGGCGCAGCAGGTGGAAATGCCGGAAAGGAGACACAGGTGCTTGCATACGTGCAAACAAGAGGGAGCGTGCCCGTCTACTGGGCCGAAATCAACACCCTAAAATACACGCCCAAGCTACAAGTCCGCGGCATCGACAACGCGCTGCCAGCCGCCAAGAAGCACTTCGCCGAGCAAATCCGGCTCTACGGCGACAACTGGATGGTGAACCTCGTCAACCAAAAAGGCCGCGAGCAGCGCGTCAAAGAAGCCTACGAGCAAATGGTCAACCTGCTGCACACATCCCCCGCCGAAAACGTCGAAGGCGACCGCATAACCTCTGAGAAATTCCACATCATCGACCCCGCCAAAGCGCAAACCGTATACGACCGCCTCCACTACGTCTACTTTGACTTCCACAACGAAACAAAGGGCCTAAGGTGGGACCGCGCCAAACTCCTCATGAACGAACTCGAGCCCCACGTCCTCAAACATGGCTACTTCTGCGGCGTCGACATGCCCGGTGATGGCAGCGGCGTGGAAGTCCGACGGCACCAGACGGCTGTGGTGCGCACGAACTGCATGGATTGTCTCGACCGTACGAACGTTGTACAGAGTATGCTAGGCCGCTACGTTCTCAGCCGCATGCTCATCGACTGCGGTCTCATGCGCGAAGGCGAGTCCGCAGAAGAGGATCAAGCATTCGAACACCTGTTCCGCAACGTCTGGGCCGATAATGCGGATGTAGTGTCGAAATCATATTCTGGTACCGGAGCCCTAAAGACCGATTTCACACGCCTGGGTGTAAGGACAAAAGCTGGTGCGCTGCAGGATCTAAACAACAGTATCACAAGATATTGTCTTAATAACTTCACCGATGGACCGAGACAGGATGCATTCGATTTGTTCCTGGGCAACTACCTGCCCAGCGACTCTAGTATGAGCGGACAGCTTCTTTTCGCGGATCGGAGACCGCTCTTCATCCAGTCGATACCGTATATCCTCGCCGCAGCCGTCTTTTTCATTTTCGTCGGTAGCTTCACTCAGCGCGCGCCTGACGCGGCGGTCTGGCCGTTACGTCTCCTCCTCCTCATTTCGCTCCTCACCGCAGCTGTCTGCGCGAATTTCATTTGGAATCATGGGACGTTATATGTAAGTTTCCTTTCCTTCCCCTTCTTCCTCCCCATTCCTTCCTTCCCTTCCTTCCTTCCCATTCTCCCATCTTCCTTCATCCACTTCCTGCCCTCCTTCCTCCTATCAGAACCTTGCGTGTCAGACTCGCTAACGCTCGCTCCCAATAGGTCAACTTCCCCAAACTCAACCGCCAACCCCCTCAAATCGAAGCCTTCCAGGACACGCTGGCCAAAGTAAGGAATAACCCTGTTGTGGGCCCGTTGGTGGGGGGTGCGGCGAAACATGAGCGCGGGAAGAGTGATGCGAGGTTATTGGGGTTGGAGGAGGGGAAGAAGAGGATTGAGTAGGTGCGGGTTTCTGTGGGTGGGGAGGGGGTAGATTGAGGGAGGGGAGCTAGATTGAGGGAAGGGGAGGGTGGGTAGAGATGGGGGAAGGGGGGTATTGGGTTGGGGGAACTTGGGATGAGATGTATAATTAGAAGTTTTTAGTATGTTTTTGTAATAATCTTTGGGTGGTTGGTTGGTTGGGGAATACAACAACAGTTTCCACATGAGCAAATTTTCTGAAGAGGTGGTTTGAGGTATATATACATCATCACCATTCACATGCACACAATCTGCGAAGACGTGGTTTGAAGTATACATCTCTCATTCTCACTCCTTTGACTCAACTAAAACACTGATGTAGTCATCAAGCCAAACTCTAAACCGCGCAAAACATACAAAATTGGGTATCATGAAGTCGCTTTTCCACCAATAAACACTGTACATATCGTAATCGTGAAACCCCTCGTAGTCGTCCGGCCCATTCATCCAGGGTGGGTGGGGGAGGCGGAGGGGCGGTGGGGGATGTCACTTCTCTACACGAGGAGTTTGGGTAGTGGGAGCGCGCTGATGGAAAGGTAGTTAGTATTCAAGTGTTAGCATCAGTGTGTAATTCTAGTATCACAGCGTCGTGTTGTCTCGGTATCCTCGTGCTATAATTTGAGGTATACGACAGCAATATGCACCATAGCAGAAAACTTGTCAAGTAGGTTTAAGGTATACAAGTCCATTCAAAAACTCTATCAAAAATTGGGTATCGTAAATAGTAAAGTCGCTTTTCCGCCGGTCATCGTACAAATCGTAGTCGCCCGACCTACCCATTCCTCCTCTCACCAGACAAAATAACCACGTCGAATTCCTCATCATCCAGATCTGGATCTTCGGCGTCCTGATTGGCAGGCTTAACAAAATCCCACCCCTCCCCCTCCATCCTATTCCTCAGTCGCTCAAGATTACTGTTGGCAGCGCGGCGTAAAACTCCAGCCCACTTATTCTCCGGTCCGCCAGTCGCTGGTGCGTTCAGCTCGGCAGATGACGAAGGCGTTAGAATCGCAGATTCGGTTTCGGTTTCGTCTTCTTCCCAGTCGTCAAGCTCAGGCAAAATCCACAGATCCGCTTCTGAGGTTTCTTCTTCGGTGGACGCATTGAGGTTGAGGCACGTGCTCGCGTGGATATTCATGCCTTGCTGGCCTTGCTGTCTTCGCGCGAGCGCACTGCGTTTGTTGGTAGGATTGGTGGGGTTGGGTGCGGGCAGCCAGGTTGGGGGCGCGTTTTGGCGGTGCAATGAGATGGCTTGGCGGCAGAGCGTGCGGTTTGCAGCAGTGGTAGTGGTAGTGCTGTTTGTAGTCATGCGGGCTGTGTTGAGCTTCTTTGACGAGTTTGATGCGGACGCGGAACTTGGAGATGCGGCGCGGGATCTGCGCGGCGAGATATCGGTTGCGATGCTGGGGAAGGCGCCGTATATCGCGTTGCTGAGATCGTAGGAGTAGTTTGTGGCATCGCGCGCTGTGGCGGAGCTGTGGGATGGGATTGTAGACATTTTTGCGGGGTGTTGTTTAAATTTTCGCGGGGGTTTAGATTTTCGCGGAGATCTTTGTCTCGTGCGAGAGTTTTGTTGGGGAGATTTTCTCGGCCCGTGGTATGCGAACAGGTGTTCGTTGTGAATGCTCAGCTGACCAGAAGTTGAAAATTTAGAGTTGCGCTGGCCGTGTGTTGCTGGCGGTAGTTTGTTGAGACGGAGTAAAGGTAGCCGAGGACAAAGCCACACTCGGAATTTGCTCCTGCAGACGGATCTGGAAGGTGGGTCTGGCTTTTGCGACGATCTCAGGCGCTCGAAAGCTGTGTGAGAGTGCGCGGGTGATGGAGAGTTTGGAAAAGCGGCTGCCTTGTGTAGCTTGTGATGGTGGCCGTAATGTGCTGACGTTGCAAGATGGCGCAGGCTGGGCTGACTTGACTGGTTTCAGTTGGGGTCTGCTTTGGAAGATATTTTGATGAGGAAGTGGTGTGAGAGAGAGATGGTTGAAATGAGAGAGAGAGAAAGAATCGACAGTTTATAAGAGAATCCGTATGAGAAATCCGTTTGCACTCAACCGTACATTGCTCTCGACCAGAATAACAAGAGGCGCTGTAAGTGGCTGCAAATTTGGATTAGTTTCCGTGGGCTCGCGCGGCAAGGGAACCAGAAGTGAAGCTGCGGTTAGTCATTGAGCAAGATTGTGAGTGTGAGTGGATTTGGCACAGCATGTTGTTGGCTGTCATCAAATTTGGAGTGGTGGTGAGTTGTCGTGGGAGCATGTGGGTGCGGCGGACGATAACCTGGGACTGCCGAGAGTCCGTGCACCCTGACGTGTGTGCTGGTCGAGCTCCAAATCTTCATGTTGGCAGACGTCCAGCCCATCAACAACGCCGAATTACCTCCCCCATCACCCATCCGCCATTCGGAGGCAGCCCATTATGCTGCGCGCCTCCATCCTACGGGCCCGTCCAGCTGCCCGCCCATTGGCCCGCGCCGCCCGCCCGCAATGGCTCCCAGCCCAGCGCTGCTACGCCGATAGCAAGAACCTGGGCGAGACGGCCGTCCCCAATCCCGCGCCCACCACCTCGCCCTCCGACCCCAAGGGCACCATCCCCACCTCGGACATTCCCAAGGCACCGCCGGCGCCCGACAGCACCGTGACTGCAGGCGCATCGCGTGATGCTCCCGCCATATCGCCCAAGACGACACCCCCCACCGGCCCCGGCTCGTCCAGCATCGCCCCCGACCCCATTCAGCCCAAGCCCAAGAAGAAGAGACGCATATTCCGCAAGCTGCTGCTCTGGCTGACGGTCCTCTCTGGCCTCGGGTACGCCGGCGGTGTCTGGTACTCGCTCGTGTCGGACAACTTCCACGACTTCTTCACCGAATACATCCCCTACGGCGAGGATGCCGTCGCCTACTTCGAGGAGCGCGAGTTCAGGCGGCGATTCCCCGGCCGCGCTGGCGAACCACGACTGCACCCCCAGATCTCGGGCGAGAACAAGGTCACCATCCCCGGACGGAGCGGCTTGACTGCGCGCCCGGCCCAGGAGAACAAGAGCGACCTCGCCTCCAAGGGCCCCCATCTGAGCGCCGTCGATGCCAACAAGCCCCAGGACAAGACCGAGTCAGGTGGACAACAGCCGAAGGTCTCATCAAGCGCACCCGCGCCCACGGAAAAGAAGGCTCCGGTCAAGGAAGTTAAGGAGGTCAAGGAGACCGCCACGCCCATCTCCCAGCTCGACCACCTCAGCGTACCCTCCGCCACCGAGCCCGTCGTCCAGGATGTCGTCAAGATCGTCAACGACATCATCACCGTCATCAACGCCGACAACGCCCACGACGGCAGGTACAACTCCGCGCTGGACAAGGCCAAGAGCGAGCTCGCCAAGGTCGTCTCCGACATCAACCTGATGAAGGAGAGCCTCCAGAAGCAGACCGAAGACAAGGTCAAGGCCGCCCACGCCGAATTCGACGAGGCCGCCAAGGAGCTCGTCCAGCGCCTCGACCACCAGATGCAGGCGCAAGAAGCCCAGTTCAAGGAGGAATTCGAGAACGAGCGCGAGCGTCTGTCGCAATCCTACAAGGAGCGCCTCCAGTCCGAACTCCAGGCCGCCCAAAAGGTCTACGACCAGAAGCTCAAGAACCAACTCCTGGAACAGAGCATCAACATGCAAAAGTCCTTCACAGCCAACGTCCGGGAGCGCGTCGAAGCCGAACGCGACGGCCGTCTCGGCAAGCTCAACGAGCTCTCCTCCTCCGTGCACGAGCTCGAGAAGCTGACGGCCGAATGGAACAGCGTCGTCGACGCCAACCTCAAGACGCAGCACCTCGTCGTCGCCGTCGAGGCCGTCAAGTCGGCTCTCGAGACACAAGCCATCCCCAAGCCCTTCGTCACGGAGCTCGCGGCGCTCAAGGAAATCGCTGCCGATGATCCTGTTGTCAGCGCCGCTATTGCGAGCATCAACCCCGCCGCTTACCAACGCGGCATCCCCAGCTCGGCCCTCCTAATCGACCGCTTCCGTCGCGTCGCTTCGGAAGTCAGGAAAGCGGCGCTCCTTCCTGAAGACGCGGGTGTGGCTTCCCATCTCGCTTCCCTCGCCATGTCGAAGGTGCTGTTCAAGAAGAGTGGGTTGGCTGTTGGTGGCGATGTTGAGGCTGTCCTTGCACGGACGGAGGTTCTGCTTGAGGAGGGGGATCTTGATGCTGCGGCTAGAGAAATGAATGGACTACAAGGCTGGGCTAAGGTGCTGAGTAAGGATTGGTTGGGCGAGTGTAGGAGGGTGCTGGAGGTTAAGCAGGCGTTGGATGTTATTGCTACGGAGGCGAGGTTGAATAGCTTGCTCATTGACTAGACTCGCGCGATCGTGAACATACCTTGGACTCCCTTTTTTCTTAGCACTACGGTAGTTTTGTACGAGTATTAGTCTATAGAAACGTGTTCTGTTCGTCCTGTACGCGCCTGTTCGGTTCATGTGTTCTAGATAAGCTTGGGTGGATTTCGTCCCATGGTACTGCGGTGACGCGACGCAGACGAGCGACTCACAACTTCCGAAATCTATATTTACTCATCCAATCAGGTGCTCTCGAAAAGAGAAGTATCGTCAACACAAGAGCTAAGCATAGCAATCGCGCAATCAATCCAGCGCAAACTTAGCCACCATAAATAACCACTCTAAACAGACGCATTCGATTCTCCGCACGCCAACATCCATCAATCTCGTCCCTCAACCCGAACAAAGAACAGCCCTAGGATTCCCAAGCTCCGCTTCCCATACAACCCATCAGCTTAGCCATGCCACGAAGAACCATATCCCATCTGGAAAACATAATCGAGACCCAGATCATGACAATCTCACAAAGGGCCAAACAACGAGACGATGCGATTACAGAGCGAGACGCCGCAATGAAAGAAAGAGATGACGCGATAAAAGAACGAGACGACGCGATGAATGAACAAAACAGCTCAACACAGGAACTCTACATGCCCACCATAACCCGCGGCCTATACATCACCGCAGACCCACCAGCCCTTAGCACCCACATAGAAGTACTACACGACCTGCCCGACGACGAACAAGAACTCGTTTGGTCGTCTAACTGGAGATCAATTCAACCAGAAAACTACCAACGTGAGGACGCAGTGACAGTCAACATGCATGGCAGATTCGGCACACGTCTGCCTGGTATATTTGTTGCGCATGAAGAGGTGGAGAGGCCAATTCGGTTATGGTACTTTACAGAGGCCGGAAAGGCGGTGGTGAAGATCGACAATCTGGGGATGGAGCGGGATGGTATCGAGGAGTCGTACAAGAGGTTCAATGATATGCGAGCTGGAGTTTGTGAGTAGGATGAGGATATGGATGTGCGAGACGAACGGGATGGGTTTGTGTAGACCAGTTGGAATGCTTGTCGACAATAGATATAAGTGTCAGCATCACAAATCATACATCACCCGTCTCTCTTCCGCTTGTCAAGCACCGCGCTCTATCCCTGGCCCTCACAAGCATCCCTATGTTCCCACATAAATGATAGTCCATCCACCTTGGAAACGTTGAAACTATGTATGCATTTTTACCTTCACTTTCACAATCTATATCTCTATCCTCATCTTATACCTCAACGTATCAACCTTCACTCAAGCCAAACCATGAGTCTCAACCGCTTGTGGACCGATAGTCATCGTTACCGGTGGATCCCAGGAGGAAAGGGTAAGCGAGATGTGGACAAGAAGGAGGAAGCCCGCAAGAAGGATGACAAGCGAAAGGGCAACGAGAAAGCAGAAAAACTGAAGCGCGGTGTTGATGAGAAGCAGAAAGTAGACAAAGCGGACAAAGAGGCGAAGAAGAAAGCCAAGAAGAATGAAGAAGGGGAAGCATTAGCTAAGATCTTTGAAGACGAGCTTGGGCTTAGCAGACGGCGATAGACGACTCTCGTTAAGCAAGTGAGCAAACAGTACCTATTACAATACCCCGTGGCACTGGATAGCTACATCATGTAATGACGATGAAGACAGCCTCACATGCACGAACCACCTGCATGCCTTAGAAGTACTGCAAAATAACATCTTCATCTAAACATCCAAGTCAGCACCTCAACCACCTCACTGAAAAGTCACCCACGTCGTCTTACCCCCGACCGTATGCTTAATGATCACCCACCGATCAACCGCTACATTATCGATAAACAGACCCGGTACGCGAGTCCCATGCCACCCATACATATTATACTGCACATCTCCAAGAACCCCTCGCGGCCAGGATGACGACCATAGTTCTTCATAGTGCGCGGGTATCCACTGCTCTGCGGGCACATGCCGCACTATCTGAGTTTCACCAGAGAAGGATCCAGGGTTGAGCGAGACATATATCCCAGGGAGTATCATAGGCGCGTAAAGCTCTTGTGCTGCTTGAATAAGATGCGAGCTTTGGTTGTTGAGCCGCGTTTTCAGGTTCTTGAGCTGCGTTTCGAGGTTGGCCAGTTGGGCGTCCCGCACTGTGAGCTGCGCGTTGACGTTGTTGAGGGCGGCCTTGAGTGCTGGTACTGTTGTCATGGTAGAGCAGAGTAGTAAGAAGAAGGGGGCAAAGAGTGTTCTGGTTCTTCAGTAATAGTTGTGGTGATGCTACGGAATTTAATCGCGGGTTGAGGTACTTAAGGATGAAGAACGAGATCTTATCGTACTAATACTGATGGTTATAGTGTTTGTGTCATGTCAAATGACGCCCGTCGCGTGACCCGACAGCATGCGCATGAAGTCCTTCATCACCTGCTACTATCCACTCGCCTCACCCGTCTCCCCATCCGTACACACATCCATAGCACCCCCCTAACCAGTCCCTTACTCACCCTTCGCCTCAAAGCTCATCCACGTCCTAATCCCCTGTAAAGTAGTGTGGCAAATCAGCACCGACCTGTCCACCTCCTCTCGATCCACAAACAGCCCCGGCAACCGTATCCCATGTCTCCCATATATGTTCTTCTTTATACCGCGGCGCATAATCCCAAGGTCGTCGCCCTAGGTCGACCACATGATTTGGTACTGCGTTTCACCACCCAACTTCATCTGTACTTGGACCTCGCCCGAAAAAGAACTGGGATCGAGCGAGACGTAAATGCCGTGGTAGCAGGTTTGCGCATATATTTCTGTTGTTGCGTCGTGGAGTTGAGCGTTGCTGTTCGTGAGCGACGTCCTGAGATCATCGACTTCTCTCGTTGCAGCGTAGAGTCGGGCGTCGCTGTCTGTGAGCGACGTCCTGAGATCATGGATCATTTCTTGTAGTCGTAGTCGAGATCTGTATAACGAAGGCATGATGAGGTGGATAGAGAGGGGTGGTAGTGGTTCTGAGGTGGGGTGGTGATGATAAGAGATCTGATTGGGATGAGATGGGCGAGAAGAGCGCGTTTTCGTGTAAAGATGGATGGAAGTGGGTGGGTCTGCGGTATGTCGATGGATGTGTCTTGTGTGGTTTGATGGTGGGATGTTGGGATGCATGCGACGTGCGCATGGGCTCCTCTGCAGTTGCTGGAAGGATGTGTCTTTGCAAGGCAGGTGGGTCTGGGGATGTTGATGAGTGATTTCCGTGGAAAGGGCACATGGTAAGTGCGCGGTGAACATCAGATCAGCGCTTCGCTTGAGCAGCGGAGTAAGATAACAATTTCACTTCTTCTCGCTTCGAACGGCTGAAGCAGACAGCTCCTAGAATCTATCTTCGGCGCCTGCTACCACTCACTCAGCTCAGCTATATCCTGGGGCCCACATCTAGAAAGGCACCCCACAGGCTATCGCATCCCTCACTCAAACTCCCTCTCCCACCTAGGTCACCTTAAAAGGTCCTGATCTGTCTGATCTTCAATCCTCACTATCGTCTTCTTCATCCCCGCCGCGAATGGTGTCCAAGTTATCACAATCGGCGTCTCCACCTCTTCCGGCGCAATAAACACGCCAGGCAGCCGCACACCCACCCTTCCGTGCATGTTTACCATGTCTTCTGGTTTGTATCCTTCGAACGCCGGGTTCGACAGGCGTATCGCGTAGAGGGGGGGTACAGGTCGGAGCTCTCCGTTTTCCGATAGTGCTAGCCGCTCAACCGTCATGGAGACGATGCCGTTGGATGTGTCTCTGTTGGGGGAGATGTACACGCCGCGAACTTGGATGGGGAAGTATAGTTCTTTTGTGACAAGTCTTAGCTGGGCGGTGAGTTCGGCGATTCGATTGTTTAGGTCGATTAGGCGTGGCCTGGGCATGGTGGGATGAGTGGATGAGTGGATAAGTGGATAAGTTGGTGAGAAGTGATGGATGGTATGTTTGGGTGGCGGGATTTCCAAGGTTGGAAACGGGCTTTGCTGACTAGGAAAGGTGGAAGGGGCGTTGGTCTAATAAGCAGTTGGTGGACACCGGGTTTGCACTGAGCCAAACGACATGCTTTCTATAGAACAACTGCGAGAACGATCTCGCGTCCGCGTACTATTTGAGAGATTGATCTAGAGAACAACGACTGAACATGACTTTGAAAGGAAGGTGGGTCTGAGAACATGTTGATGAGCGACTTCCGTGAGAAATGGCAGATGGCAAGTGCGCAGTGACCTCAACTACAACATCCCCTACTGCAGAAATAGAATGGCAAACACCAACCGCTCAGCATGTCTAAACTATCACGAATCCATCAACCTCAGTCCCATCTCCCTCCTCATTGTCCCCTTGATCCACGGGTATGATAAGTATGATTGTCTTCTTTCCTTCCGCTGTCGTCCAAATGGCCAGCAGTGATTGCTCTACCTCTTCATTTGCGACGAATATGCCAGGCACACGTGTACCGGTTCTTCCATGCTTGTTAACAGTCTTGTGAGTCACGTCCTTCACGGTCGGTATAGTGACCGTGTCATCATGAGCCAGTTTCTCTTTGGATGACCATTGGATGTGATACTCGGTGGCTCCAGGTGGGCGTGTCGCGATTTCCATGCAGTCGGGGAGGACTTGTATAGTGGGCGAGATGTATAAGCCGCTAACTCTGGTGGGCAGGTACAGTTCCTGAGCTGCGGAAGGATCTTGCGTGGTAGTGTTGTGCGTCTTCGTGGCTCCTTTCCCGAACACTCCGGCAGCTGCGGCAGCTGAACCGGCTTCGGGCTCCCTCTTGGTTTTGGAGACTTTTTGCCAGCCTTGCATAATGAAGTAGTTGTTGAAGGGCGACGATCTAGTGATCTTGCGAAGTGTGATGGCGATTAGCTGAGAGAAGACACGGGATTTTATAGCATCTGGTAACAGTCATCTGGCTTGCACTATAGCAAAGAAAAAGCGGTCATGTGGAATATTGCAAAACGTGATCTGTCCCAAACCATCCTGCAAGAGTGTCGGAAAGGAAACGATGTTTGCCCAGACACTCAGTGTAGCATCTGCATAATCAACCAAGGGGGCATATTTGGTGTGCCACTATACCTCACTCATGGCTACTAGTTGCATCCTTGCGCAATCATATCCTTGATCTCTTCACAAATTCCACCCAGGTCTCCGAATGAGAGTCGCCCTCATCCTTGTCCCTACTACCTTGTTTCTCCTCTCCCTTTTGTATGCCATTCTCGTCGCTTTCGATTTTCTCATTGTCTTTTCCATCGTTCTCCCGTTTCTTAGGCGGCGCCCGACCTGCTTCGCGCGGTTCCATCTTCACTTTCCCACCCTTGATAGGCGTTGAGGTCGACATGTTCTCAAAGCTTTACTGAGTATGGGCGTGTGTCTTCAGGGTGTAAGCTTGGGTGGGTATTTAATCGCGGATGGCAAGCTGGGAACAGATCTATGACCCGCTCTTCAGACGGCAGATGTGTGCTTCAAAGACCCTCTGAGGGTCTGCGAGGGACGCCGTCATTCAATAACGCATAGTCTGTCACGAGAAATGATCGATGAAGGTTGAGCATCGTGGCCCACTCTTCATGTCGACACAAATTGCTATCCATCAGGGTCTTAAGCCGTCACATGATTGAAGGCGTCAACATTTCTGACTAGTCAAACGTGATGCGTACTTCAACTACCGTCGTGACGTTACTGCATACTATCGAATTGCCTAACCCTGTCCTTCACGCCACCACTGTTCTCATCACCACCTTTTTCTTCTTTTTCCTCTGCCTTTTTGCCTTCTTCTTTCTTTTCTTCATGCGGAATATGCGGCTTTACGACCCTCATTTTTGGACTCTCGTTCAGGACTCTACCCATCTTAATGTTTGGATCTTCATTCTTCGTAATGGAACCATCCTGAGAGGCTTTCGTCACAAAGTCCGAGTAAGGCCACCGCTTCTTGAGAAGCTTAAAAGGTTCAGCAGCCTTTTCGGGAGGTGTGTCAGACATTGCGGTAATTGGTTAGGACTGTATCTTCTGATGAGGGGTGGGGAAGGGGATGGAAGTGTGTGTAACTAAGATAATGAGCGGGTCGGTTGAGAGTGAGGAGGAGCGGTTCTCATATACGAGTTGAGACGAGAGGTCGTTCGTAGACTGCCAATTTATGAGAGTGACGGGCGAGTACAAACGGCTACGTAGACCATGACAGACAGTGTAAACGCCTTGCAATCAGCTATTGACGATAGACGATCACCAATTTCGTCGTTGTCGCATTACGGCTCGTACAAGTCCATATTATCCTGCTCCTCGGGTACACCACAAACGCAAGGCGTCTTAACGAACCCATCTTCATCTCCATCCTCGTTTACCAGCTTCATGCTCTCTCCTTCCACGTTCTTGTCATCAATTCCAGTGGAGCCATCAACTTTCGTGGTGCCATCCATTATCGTGCTTCCATCAACGTCCGGCCCTTTGACATATGGCGTATCATCGGTCTGCGTTCCTTTCGAGTTGGTAGACTCAGAAAGATCTGGTATATGAACAGCCTTCTCTCCGTCACTCCTCTTGCGTGACTGCTCGTCCACGTACTGACCCCACAGGTTACGCCATCTCTTCCGCTCGCTGACGTGTTCAGCAAAACGTTCCATGTTGTCAGATTCTGATGCCACAGGCTTGGCCGTAGGCTGTTCGGAAGGTTGTTCTCCAGCCATGTCGACGTTAGATGATGATTGAATACGTGAGAGAATGTTGGCACACGCGAATTTGCGCTGGACTTGAGCGAGCATATATACGTGGTGCTCATGCTACACCGACCCTAGGGAGGTTGCTATGCAGGCGTTCATGTATCAAACGCATTCAATACTAAGCTCGGCCTCTTCGCTCGGTCTATCGCCGGGCTCGCGTACATACCCCTCTTAGCCGTTTGCATCCCAAGTCTACAAAGACCAACCAGATGATGTACGCCGGCCAGCACACCATCAATCACCTGCACATGACCCCCAACCGCCTTTTCAACAGCAGCCTTCATGTTCGTCATGCCAGCACACCCAAGCGTCAACACATCAGCACCATCTGCAACCAGCTTCTTGCCTACGTCGCACATGACGCCAAGCACTTCCTCTTCAGGCTTCGATTCCAACTCCAAGACCCCAAGATCACAACTTCTCACACCAGCGCAGAACGACTCCAGACCGTAGTGTTTCACAGAGTCCTCCAGCGTATACTGCGATCGTCGCGTCGTTGCGATAATGCCAAACCGACCACCCAGCGTTCGTGCAGCGAACAGCGAGGCCTCCATAATACCAACTATCGGCTGCGAGAGTTCTTCACTAAGGACCTTTATGAGTGCGTGATCGCTGTAGCAAGCTATGAGGAATGCGTCATACTGATTTGCAACGGGTATGATAGCTCGGGCGGCGGCAGCTGCGGACAAGATGTTGTCGAAGCTTGACTCGATAGCTGATGGCGCTGGTTTAGGGGCTGTAAAGCCGTACACGGTGACGTCGGGTGGGAGTGTTGGTTTGAGTGTTTCCAGACAGGCGTCTGTCATTCTTTTAGTAGCGTTGGGGTTGCAGAGGAGGATGCGAATGTGCTTTGGAGATCTGGTGCCTGTGACAGAGGCCAGCGGCTTACGTTTACTATCGCTCGCGGTAGCCTTGGTTCTATGATGCGATTTTTCCGATTGTGCTAGTCGCGGCGGTTCGACAACTCCCGTTTGCGAAGTCAAAATGTCATAATGCTCTGTTCGCCGATGTCTCGCAAAGTCAAACGTCCGCGTCTTGCCTGGTAGGCATCGATCAAGGTCGCAATCGGCGACGATGATCTCATCCTCCTCCGTCTTGCTCTCAGCCATAATCTTGCCATCTGGTCCAATGATAGTCGAGCCTCCTACCAGATCGTACTTTCCATCATCCAACCCGCATCTCGCCGCGCTGACAGAGTAGCACGCATTGGTGTATGAGTGGGCCTGCATGACTAGCTTGTGATGGAAGATCGCCTCCGCACGTGCTTCAGCTGGGCTCACGTCGGCGTATGCCCCCCACATCTGTGGAGCAAAACCTGGCGTGTTGAAGCCCACGAGAACAACCTCGACGCCTTGAAGACCCAAGCATCTCCAAGCTTCTGCCCACCGTCGATCGTTGCATATCATCATGCCGAAGATGGGCTCGCCGTATTCAGGTGTGGTCTCCACCAGGCCGGGTACTCGGAAGGCCTTGAAATCTAAATTACCCGGCTTAAAGTATCGCTTCTCAAGCTGGTTGACCGCATCGGGTTCGGGGAAAGGGTCAACGTCTCCGGGTAAATGCACCTTTCGATACTTTGACAGAATAGATCCGGACTTGGCGTGATAATAGACGCAGGAGTTGTAGTGGTCGCCGTCATCTGTGACCTCTGCGAATCCGATGCAGATGTCGACCTCCAACTGCTTGGCTCGTTCAAATATACGCTTCGTGTTTTCCGCTGTAGTCACATCGCCATGTTCGAAGAACGACTCGAGTTCCGCTTCATTGGTGATGAGATGACGAGGGAAGAAGGTCGTAAAAGTACATTCTGGGAAGAGCACAACTTGTGCGCCTTGTCCAGCGGCTTGATTGAGAAGACGAACGAGTCGATCTATTGTGTTCTCACGGATGTCAGTGCGATGGACTGCGCCAACCTGTGCCGCGGCTATACGGATCGTGCGCGACATGCTGTTTTAACTGGTCTCGAAGGAGTTTGGAAGCGTTCTGAGAGCGCACTGGCGACTCAAAAGGATAGTCAATCACGCAGCTGGACATTTTGAGGATCGCGAGTTGTTATGCGCGTTGATGAGCTTATCAAAGGTGGGATGAGAAGATAGTGATGAAGTTCTGGCGATAGAGGCGGCCAGTCGCGTGAGGCCAAGGCGGTCTTAGCGCCCCCGCACTTCCCGAGGTCAAGCCTTCCCCGCTGTCAACCTCGCACTTCACTCCTTCTATGTATCCTATCAACTTCAATACTTGAGCTTGATGGTATCGCTTTCCCATAAATCAGGCGATTATGTGGAGCGCTTCTGCTTCATCTACTGACTTGCTCCTTCTAATTTCGAAATCGACCAGAACATGGCGGTGAAAGTTATGTTTAGCTTTCTTTCCACAAGCCGGCCTAGGACGTCACGTGAGCGCCAGGTACCACGACATCATGGATGAAAAGCGCACGAGAATACCCGCAAGCGATCTAACCTTCGAACCGTCGCCCACACGATCAACGCAATCTTCGGATGCGTATCCGGACCCGAGTTCGCAGGAACAACAATTAACATTACCGATGGAGTTTAAGGCGTGCCTTGTGGGTAAAACCCAGCCGTGACATCCAGCTTGGCATGCCTCAAAGCCACATAACTCGCCCTGCTTACAGCATTTCAGTCCCGAACCGTGCAAGTCTCTGGAACGCCGTACTGCGCATGCATCGCGTATAGATCACAGACTTGGCGGCTGATTCCTGTGGTACCTTTTTACGTCAATCGCAGGGTTAGCGTCAATATCGCATAGCCGCGACCGCGAATAACAACACATAATCAGGCGTCCTGTTGCACCACAGCGAAACAAACAAGGGTGACTATAATGTGACGTCAAGTCGTGCAGGGCGATGCACAGCCGTCAGGGCAACAGAGTGGTTGGCCTTAGGATGTACAAAATCAACTTAACGCGCTCGTTCTCGTTCTACGTGATCATCACCACTCCCAGTACCAAACAACCTCTACAACCACATTCCAACCATGGCACCACGATCATCCCGCCTCAGCAGCGCCCTCATCGCAGCATCCCTCCTAACCACCTCAGCTCTTGCCCAGAACAGCAGCGAAATTCACCCCAGCTCCGACGTCAGCTGCCCCGACCTAAATCGTTTAGGCGACCACTACGAATACCCCGTAAACAGCAGCGGCACAGCAAACGTCTCCGACCTGCGCATCTCCGTCACATTCGGCGAGTTCCGCGATCCAGACAGGTGGAGCAGGACATTCGATGCCCAGCAAATGGTGTACCTCAGCGCTCCCGCCGGCAGCGTCGATCAAACCTGCGTGTGGTTCTTCCACGGCGTCGATAATGTTAGACAGGGCGACGACGAGAGCGGCTGCGACGGGGTGCTTCCGCAAGAATGTCTGGATTATTTGGAGAGCGAATTGACGCTCCCGGATGACGCTCTAGAGCAAATGACCAACGGCACCAGCGGACGCGCTTCGTTCGTATGCCCTCCACCGCACTTGAACGAAACGGAGATGAAGGAGATTTGTGGATCGGGTTTCTCGAGTAGCATGGGGATGATCGGTACGTTGGATTTAGCACTAATCTCCCTCTTCTATGCGTGCGATGCTTTACTAACCCACTTCATCCACAGGGGGCACCCTCAACACAACAAACATGACCTGCACCGTCCCCCCAACCGGCGTCCAACTTCCATCCGACTACCACACCGCCCCACTTGTTGGCTATGGTCCCGCCGGTGTCGGCAATTCGAGCTACGATCACGAGTTGGACAATTTCACCATGTACGATGAGTACATCACTCGTCCCCATCCTGTTGTCGTCGCGTCTGTTGCGAACGGTAAGGCGAAGACGAGCGTGGTTTGCATCGCGCCTGACAATGTGCTTGAGGGGAGCCGTGTGCCTGCTGAGTCTGTTAATCAGCCTAGCGGTGAGGACGACGAGAGTGCTGCGCCGGGATTGGCTTGGGGACGGAACACGGGTATGGCTGTGCTGATGGCGGGGGTGGCGGGTATGTCTTTTGTGCTTGCGTAGACGGATACATCGATGTTATAGCGGTTGGAAGTTACTGCATGATTAGGGATGACGAATACCATATACCAACACATCAAACAGGTTTCACGAAGAGCTCAGTAGTCGGCAAACGCCATGTTTATTGACTCCAGATATTGTCCACGTCGTATCGTGCTGGACTTCAATCCATCTTCACATATCAACTACCTCGACACAGTCCACCGAAGCACACCCCAACACCCCAACACCCTAACACCCTGCCAATCCCTCACCCATTCCAAGGTCCGCCATATACACCATCTCCTTAACCTCCGCCTTCTTCCCATTATACCCACCCCTATCAGCAGCAACCACAGCCATCACCGCCTCCTCCATTCGTCCCGCAACCCCCTCGTCGTCTCCAACCGCAATATCCCGGGCATGAAGCCAACTTAAAAGTAGCTTGAAGTCGGCAAACGTATCTTTGAAGCGATCATCAAGAATATGTGGATGCGATTCAGCCCACACGAAGAGCTCTACGTCCATACAAGCTGAACTGTAGACATCGAGGTTCCTGGTCGTGGGTTTGGTGTGGAGACGGGCGAGGGAAATTAGTCTGTCTAGTTCGGTTTCGTCGGTGGGGTTGGAGAAGGTGTAGGTGTTGTAGGACCAGGTTCGGAGGCGGAGGAGCTGGGCTGCTATGTCTTCGCTTCGTATCTCGGCTTTGTTGCGCCATTGGCCTGTCTTCTCGCCCCACCTGTTTATCTTTTCACCCCGCCTGACCGTGTGCTCGCTCTGCTTTTCCGGTATTTTCTCCTGCTTAGAGACGATGTCCTTCCTCAGGAACCTTCCAGCCCATTCACCTTCGGATACCGAGTTGTGGAGAGATGATAGGCCTGCATCCGCACCCGTTCTCATTGGCCTTGCTAGCTGGGAAGATTTTGTGCCTTCCCTTTGTCGTTCGCGGGGGTTACGACGCAGGTTGTTCAGGTACCAGTAAGCTCGGCTGACGTCCTCAGGAGCATACCAGAAGTAAGGGGTATCGAAAGTGCCAGATCCACGGAATTGGGCGGGTGAGCTGCGGATCAACCAGACGATAGCCATCACAACTCGAAGGAGCACAGGCGGGGGGCCGGCACCGAGTCTAGATGTGGCACCGACGGTGATAGTATGGTGATGATGGGCCGACGTCACGGAGACGCTTTTGGCGATCTAGGAGGACTTGCCCATCTGAATCGTATTCCGTAGTACACTCGAAGCAGCGCCGCGGGTAGATATCGCCGATGATTCTCAATCGCTGGCAAGTGGTGCAAGAGTGCGACCTGTCTTGTTGTGCGGCCTGAGGTGAGAGACGTAGTGCATCGCCATCGCCGTCGTCAGCGTGCAGCTGACTGCCACTGGGGGATTGCGCCATCGTGAAAGCGGTCAATATCTAACTGTCGATGTGGGGATGCGAAAGCAGAAAGGGGCAGCAGCGTCCGTCGCAAAGGTAATGTTTGGAAATATACTCGTTTACACGCTAACCTGATTGGGCGACTTCCTCTCTCACCCCGACGACCCGGACTAAGCAACCGCGCTGCTGAACCGACTTTGGGCCTTAATGGCTAAAAGTCATGAGGCTGGGAGCCCAAGTTCATCTCTGCCATATCATGGTATAGTTCATCTTGATCTTGCTCCTCGTCCTCCTGCTCCTCCACATCCTCAGTATACACCACGGTCGCATCTTCTTCCTCTTCCTCACCGTCCTCAGTATACCCAACACCCGCATCCTCTTCCGTTCCATCTCGCCCTTGACCCTCCCCCCGCCCATCCACATCCTCAACATGCACCACACCCGGCCCACCTCCTTCACCAGCCGTACCAGCCGTACTCTCATGCCCCTCGTCTTCCACCCCTCCCGCATTCACCGGCGATGCACCATATTCCGCGGGGTCCAACCAGTACTTAGTCCAAGCCGCCTTTTTGCGCATCCACTCCGCATCTATAACAACGAAATGTAGGTCAATCTCCACATTAGACTGCCCATTGAGGTTAGCCAGTAGCCAAGGGCTGATCTCATCAGGATCAGCGGTGCCGAAGTCTTCAAGGAGCCGGGCAGATGCGTGTGCGGGAGAGTAGCCCCAGCTTTGGTATAGCACCTCGGCTAGTTCCTTGAGTATCTGCTCTATTTCATCGAGTTTCGTGTAGATGGGTTGGAGGCGGGCTTGTATGTCCCTCTTTTGACTTTCGAATGTTGCTTCGGACGTGCTGAGCTGGGACCGGTACACTAGGTCTACGCTGTCACGAACGCTGTAATCGCCAAAAATGAGTTGATCGAGTTGGTCGAGGTAGGATCGTTCATCCGTGATACCAGCTGCTTCCATGAGATTTCGTAGTTGGACGCGGATATAATCTCTAGAGCTCGTCAATAGAGCATAGGGGTCGTGACTGAACCCGAGCCTGAGCCTGTTTATGTCTATCCTGAGGCCCTGCATCTTTGCGCGCATCGAAGCGGCATTGCGGTATACGACGTTCAACCCATTGATGGTTTCCTGATGCGTAAGGATCTCGCGGCATACAGCTCTGGCTCGGGCCAGGGGGTCGTACCGAACGAGTTCGGTCTTGCATAGCGGACATGATCGACGAGCGGCCGTCGCAGTGACTTCTCCGTCAATCCAAGTGCAAATGCAATCTTTGTGGAAGAAATGGTTGCATTTCCAAATCTGTACGACGTTTCCATGGGGAGTTGGCTCGACCGTTGCCGCTGCCATCGCCGCAGCAAGGATTCTGGCTTGGGTCGTCATTCCGAAGACTTGCTCATCCGATGGCTCCTCTTCCCCTTGGTCCTGATGGGCGAAATCGAGCCGGCATATAGCGCAGTTTCCATCGGTGGGTGGGTTGTCCACGGGTACCAGTTCATTCTTCACAAAGTCCTCGTAGTTGCCGTGGAATCCCCATACCACGGGAGATGTGGTCATGAGGATGGCGTTGTTCGCTGGGGGTTGTGTGGGGTTGTCCATTTAAAATAATAGCCATGGGGATTTTGCACGATTGGAGCAATTCCAGAAATTTATAAGTTCTACATACCTGGGAGGATTCCTCAACTCGGTACCCAAGGTTTGGGAACATGTTTAACGATGACATCGAGTGCTTGGCAAGCCGCTCACGAACCCCCAGCGCAAGATATCGCATCTCACCCACGAGGGTAATCGCGAATCAGATGTCGCAAAGGTCAGAGATTGGCTCTGGTGACTGTACCATTGAGTCGAAAGACAGTGCACGGGCCACTGGTTCTGGAATTTGTTTTCCAAATCTCCCATCTCCGTTGGATGAGGGGCAGAATCACTGGGTGTCTTGTGGGAGGTAACCGATGTGCGCCGCGGTAGCGACAGCAGCTGTACCACGAGTGCGAGTCTGGGGTTAGGAAGATGCTCTCCACGAGGCATGCGAGGTCGATCCGAGAACTCTGCCAACGCTTTAATTGAGCCGGCAAGGTCATCAGAGGGTGCGATGCATGATCGTCCTGTGAAATGGTACGGCCTCCTGCGCTGTACTCTTAGAAGGTCAGTCTGGTGCACAGCCCTCTCGCCAGCGGTAGCTATGCATCGCCATCGCGGTTATATCGTCGACTCCCTCTCTTACGCGTCATTACGATCCAGAAGAAATGCGGTTTCCATGCGATAACACATCGCGACGTACAGCCATGTCGATCGTGAAGCGTGAAGATGGAGAAGGTTGACACGTCGGCCAACCGCGACGATCCTGCCTTGTTTTTCAGCCAATGCCCAGCCCCAGCCGCGTCTGGGCAGTCGCGAATCGCGTCACCGCTTTCTCCGCAAAACCTCGTACCTCAGCTCCTCAGCTCCTCCATCCCAACTGCTCTGCGCAGGAAGAAGCATCAATCGCATCTCGCATCTTTGTCCGCGAGGTTTGCTAAGCTCTCTCCTAAGCTTCCCGCCCATCACCTTACCGTGGGGAGCCAATCAAGAGCTGCGCAGAGCTCCAGGGCCCTCGACCAACCACAGCCCTCCTCACTCCCGAATACCCGGAATCCTCGCACCAGGTACCATCAGCATGTCGTCCGCCCGCCACGGCCACGACAACTCGCACAACGTCTCGCGTGTCCTGTCCGATCACTTCAACAGCCGCTCAAACCATGATAACGAGTCTACACCTCTGCTGCACAACATCATCCCTTCGCATATCCATCCCGATGGCGAGAGCGGGCGCAAAGGCTTCCACCCATCGCACTTCATCAACGTAGCCTGGCGCTCTGGCAGCAATGCCGCTAAATACACGAACCTCCTCTGGCCCTTTGTCATTGTAGCTATTGTGCTGCACTTTGCGGCGCCAGGCATGCCGATTGCCATCTTCGCGACTAGCTACATCGCCATGGTGCCGGTGGCCAATCTGCTGGGTTTCGCGGGCCAGGAGTTTGCGAGGAAGATGCCGAAGGTGTCTGGTATCTTGATCGAGACTGCGTTTGGTTCGATTGTAGAGATCATTCTCTTCATCATCTTGATTGCCAAGCACCATTCTCAGGATGGGTCGAGTGAACATGGTAATCTCATTCCTGTTATCCAGGCTGCGATTTTGGGATCGATCATCACGAACTTGCTTCTTTGCCTTGGACTGTAAGTACTCTGAAGCAAACACGCGTGTCACACGTACTAACATGAGATCTAGCTGTTTCTTCGTAGGCGGCCTCCGCCAAATGTCACAAAAATTCCACGCCTCCATCAGCGAAGTAGGCTCGGGCCTCCTCCTCGTAGCCGGTTTCGGTCTGCTCATCCCCTCAGCCTACTACTCCGCGCTCAAAGGCTCCGCCGTAGCAAAAGCAACAAAACACCACGAGTTCACCGAGAAGATCCTGCAGCACAACGTCCTCCGAATCAGTCAGGTGACGTCGATCCTCCTCATCATCGCTTTCTGCATCTTCATCTGGTACAACGCGCGCTCTCAGCACTCGCTCTTCGATGAAGTGCTTGAGGCGGATGAGCATGCGGATCTCGATCACCATGAAGATCTTGCGAAGCCCAAGTTTACGTTTACGGAGTGCGTCGTCGCGCTCATCCTCTCTCTGGCTATCGTAACTCTCCTCGCCGTCTTCCTCGTCGAGCGCATCGAAGATGTTGTCGAGAACGGTGTTCCGGACCAGTTCCTCGGTCTCATTATGCTGCCGCTCGTTGAGAAAGCCGCCGAGCACCTCACTGCTATCGACGAGGGGTGGGATGGCCAGATCAACTTCGCGCTCTTCCACTGCATCGGCCCGAGTATTCAGACCGCACTCTTCAACGCCCCGCTTGTTGTTCTCGTTGGATGGGCAATGGGCAAGGATATGGATCTCAACTTTGAGATTTTCATGATTGTGCTCCTGGTGTTGGCTATCGTGGTTGTGGGTAACTTTTTGAGGGACGGAGAGTCGAACTACTTGGAGGGGGCTATGCTTATCGTAAGTCTATCCTTGTCTGAGTACTGGTGATTGGACGCTTTTGCTAACAATTCAAAACAGATTGTCTACGTCATCGTAGCCGTAGCTGCATGGTACTATCCCAACCCCGATGTCGCTACTTCGAACGGTGCCGAGTAACAAGCGATGTTACGAGAAAATATGGAGGGGTGGGTACTGCGGCAGTTGGTACGGCGGACCGGTGGCCGATTCATGCTGAGGTATTTTGGATCACCGGGGTTTGCAAGGTAGCTGGGGATTCTTGGTACTCGCGATCAAGTGTTATGTAACCAAAAAGTGGCTTTGCAAAAAAGTTGTTTTTTGGTTCCATAACACTTGGGGGCGACGCTCAAGAATCCCCAGCTGCTTTGTGGGCCATGCTTTTGTTCAACTACCGTATCGTTGGGGCATGGGTGGGATGGCAGGATGAGCACGCTGTTACGAATTGGGATAGATCACTGTATGATACACGACATGATACTGAACAACAAGTTACCATACAACATTACTTCATTCGCATGTATCTATCCTTTCAAAACAGATTTTACACACCCCACCACCATCCACCTCATCTAGTACCCACAATCCGCTCCCGCCAACTTAACAAGCTTAGGGAAGTTCGGCGTCCCAAACCCAGTAACCGGGTCCCAACCCTCCGTAACCGGGAACCCCTCAACATTACACCCCCGACTAAACCCCTTTGTAATATCAGTCAACCCCTTATACCCCTTCTTATACAACCACGGATTCATAAAACCCAGCGCCGGCTTCCCAGCCGCCAACAACGCGTCGTTAACAAGCGCAAAGATACCACCTGTCAACGGGCAAGAAGCAGAAGTACCAGAAATCGTTCCTTCGGTTCCGTTCCAGAAGTACGCGAAATACAGACCCTGGGCCGCGAGATCGGGGTATCCGCGCCCGGTCTTGTTGTACAACCCCTCATAGGTATCGCCGAGCGACTTCACGTACTTGGGCACAACCTTATCCTGATACCAGGGGCGCGCAAAGTAGTTGCTAAACCCACTGCCACTGCTGTACAAATCGCGGAACCCAGCAGTCGTGTTGCGGGAAGGGCGGTACGCGGATTCCTCAGGCTCGAAGTTCATGGTTGCACCAACAGTCGTGACGTAGGGACAGGACGCAGGGAACGCAGGCTGGAATTGATACGTGTTCTTGCCGTCGTTGGTGTAGCAGGTATCCGTGCCGCCGAGCCCGCGGTCGCCGGACGAGAAAAAGAGAGTCGTGCCCCGAGCGCCCACTTGGGCGAATTGCCGGCATACGCGCTCGGCGTAGCTCTTGGGGATGGTTTGCTCGGGCTCGCCGTAAGAGGTGGAGATGATGCGCGGGATGGAGCGTTGGGTTAGGAGCCAGTTTACCCAGGCGAGGTAGGGCTCGTTGGTGTTTGTGGGCGTGGAGATGTCGGGGACGAAGGGGGGTTGGCCGCCGGTGGAGTAGGAGGTTATGGGTGTTTTCCAGCTTATTCCGGAAATGGCTTGCACGTCGAGGTTGGCTTCGCGGCTGATTCCTTCGACGGTGGATTGGTTGTAGCTCAGGGGGCCGTCTTGGGTGGGGCCGTTGTCGATGGAGATTTGCTTGAATGCGTAGGCTTGCGACACGGCTTCGGGGCGGTACTTCTCGAGGAACATCTTGGTGTCTGGGCGGATGGGGATCTCGCCGAGGTAGTTTGTGAAACCGATGCTGTTTTTGCGGCTGGCCTTGGTGTGGTACCACTTGGTCTTGTAGAGAGTCTGGAAGCATTCCGGGGTGACGGATGTCACGTTGCACACGGCAGAGATGGATGAGTTCTGGGGTGTGTGGTAGCTCTTGGGTACTTCGACAGCCTCGTCGACGAATGTCGCGGCGTGGGCAGCGCCGCGGAAGAAAGATGTGGTGGGCTGGACGGTGTCGATGTGAGCGTGTAGGTGGCGCGGGAGAGACCAAGCTGTTGTACGCGCAACAACGGAACCATCCTTGTGCTTGTAGTTGTGGTATTCGGTGTCGAGCAGACTCTCAACCATCTCAATGGGCAGATGGACGATGACCCAGTCCTTGGCCGAGCTGTAGCCCAGGTTGCTGGTGTCGATTCCGCTCTCGGCGAGCCACTCGTGCACCAAGTCGTGGGTCTCAGAGCTGGGTGCAACGAGTTCATCAACCTCGTCGGCGCTCAGATGTTGACCGTAGCGTGCATGGTCAGGGTCGGAGACTACACGTCGTTAGCTCAGATGTCGCGAAACCTTTCCATCCAGCAAACATACCCTCATGAAGATGGCGATCAAGCTCCTCAAACCTCCCCTGCTTAAGACCAATCTGCAGCTGAATCGTCTTGCCACCATGCGACCTCTCCAGCTTCGTCCACTCCCTCGGCGCATAATGCGTCTCCTTAACCACATACGGCGATCTCGCCTGAATCGGCGAAGCCAGCGCATCCCGCGCGGCAACAGCAGCCAACACAACAGTCGCGAAGATCTGCATCGTAGATAGCGATTGTATAGGCGTCTCAGAAACAGATGCAGACAACAACGCGCACGCCCAGTCCCACCAAGCAGCCTTGCCAGCTATTTAAGCTCTTGCGAAGCTCCGCCCAGACTCGCGTCATACAGCTTCATGGTACCTTGGCGACCCTAGGGCAGGGCGCCCCATCTGGAAGGACGATAGTAAAGCGCATAGTACATGCATGTCGATCGCCGTATCGTCGGAACAGCCTTGACTGGATTGCTATCGCTTGCGGTACGAGCAGGTTAGACAATCTCTTCATCGCGACAAGCTCAGCGTTGCCAAGCTGGCGAAAACAACAACCGGCCTGTCCATCACGCGTCGTGATTCGTTGGTAGTGTGTGATAACGCAAATAGCGATGTTCACAAAGGCGGGGGATGAAGTTGGCATGATAGCAAGGGCATATGACGGGAACGCTCTAGCCTCAGCAACGGCCGCGCTAACGCTGGATTAGGCAGCTACAAAACTTCGGCATCATCGTGCGCCGCGATAAACAAGCAAAGTCAAGCCACTAGCTGTTGGGTCCGACGGCATGTTAGCTGCTCTTGGGGGAGCTTGACTTGCTCTTGGAAGGTGATGGGGTGGATCGCGTTCCGGACCTCGAGAGAGTGCAGCATGTACCCCGCCGCCAACCCGGTTGACGGCATTGTGACTGACCCAGCGACGTTTTTACGATTCTTTCGTCGGAGCGATGGACAATATGGTGCTCGCGCTTATCTGTGGCCTGATATGCGCGCGTTCGTGGAATATCTGGGCAGCGCGGCAGTGCGGCCGTAACAGATGCTTCTTGCATGTCGTTGCATCGCGCGCCCACGTTACCGCATATCCGATCGCTTAGCATCGTGTCCACCTATGACATTTCTATCTGCAAGGCAGGAAGCACGTATCTACAACGTGCGTCCTAATCTCCGTTCAACTGATACAACTCCCAGGGTAGGCCGTTTCCGCCCCGACTATGCGCCTGCCTTTACACGCGACCCGCATCTTTGAATTCCCGACATCTCTTCAGCATCGCTTCCATAGGCAGGACCGCCATGAGACGAGCAAAGTCCACGTATTTGCTACTAAAGATGCAGATCCATCGCGCCATAAACTCTTCCGTAATTACGTCCATCGTCTTCGTCGCCGCTATAAATGCCTCGAGATGGTCCTCTTCACAAAGCATCATGCGCATGCGCTCCGCTTTTCAGTCGCTCATTGCATAAGCGACTACTTCAAAGAGGCCCTTGTTAGATATGAGGTGAAACTGCAGGAACGTAAAGGGGTCGGGATTTGGCGACTCTACGAGAGAGTCATGGTCTGAACCCTTCTGCATCAGAGATACATTCGGCTCTTCGGATCGATACCAAAAGTGGCGGTCGTCTGAAGCTGCCACGGGCGGGTTACTCCGCAACTCAGAGATCATCCTCTTAATTTGCGGTGACCAATATATCCGCTCGCAGTCTTGGACATACTGAGTATACTCAAAGAGCTGTGCAAATCGCATCAGTTTCATATCAGGGTCCACGTCGTAATTGCAACTTCGAACCAGCTCGCTCGCCGACACGCGATCTGTATGGCATAGGTGGGCCACCTGCATCTCGTCCTCAGTCTCTTCAGTGGACTGTTGAGCCGGCATTTCGGCGAGAGGTCGCCTGCTTGTAGGACAACTCGGCTTGAACCAGGGTGTCCTACAAAGCGGACAGAGATTGAAATCTGGGCCTCGGGATCGGAAGACTTGTTTCAGGCATTCCTTACCGAATACATGATGGCAGACAGGTACGCCGCACACTTGGAGCGGCAGGTCCGATGTTCTTGTATCCGCATTTGTAGTACCAAAAGCCGCCCGACAGATGCTGCATTTGCTGTCGTCTTCATCGGGAATACATGGCTTGAGGTGTCGGAGGAAGCGTGGGTAATTCCTGTCAGGGCCACATGTGTTTAGAGAGACATTTGAGAAGTAAGAGTTCGTTGTCGTGGATGCCATGATACTGAGCAATTTTTGCGGGCGGTACCTGCAGTCTCAAAGAGCTGATGGGTCGGTTGCGAGTGAAATACGATCGTCTGTCCAATTGTTTGCCAGTTACTACAAGTCTCGTGATCTCTTGCACCGTCGGATCAGTCTGGTGATATCGGGAATATACCACAGTAGCCAAAGGGGACCCAGATATGCTTGGTACTTCTTCCAGTGACTTTGGCAGAGCGTGATAAACCTGACAATGCTTGGAGACTGCTCGCAGTGACTAGAATGACCGAGGGCCGTATTCAGTTTGACCTAACGCATGCATGCTATTATTAAAGCAGCCATAACGCCAACTATATAACGCGCCTGTACCCAAGCTATGAGCATTCATTGACAGCTCCATCACTCTAGACAATACGACGATAAAATGACGGAAATGTACTACGCGCTCGACTACCCAGGAGTGTACCTCAAAACCGACTTCGCAGAGAGCAAAGTACGCATGGCAGTCTTGCGAGAGAACTCTGCAGACACCGGCGAAGCCCCGTTGTATGCTGTCTGGGACTCCCTCTGGGGCTTACCTGATATAGTGGCTCGTCCGACCAAAGATATGTGCGGAGAAGAAGGACTGCGCGTACATAGCGTCTTGGTGATCGAAGAGGAAATCTGGGGGGGCGTTACGATCTTGAGTTAGCCACCGGGAAAGAACGAACGCCGTCTGCATGTCTACCCTATGGATGACTTCTATCGCAGTGTTCTCAAGTATACCGAGGAGAACGATGCCATGCAAAACCCCGCACTTCGATACAAGCCGATGCCCTTGCGGCTTGTCGCGCCGGAGAATAAGACCCATGAGGAGGATGAGGATGATGATGAGGATGAAGAACTGGTCAGTAGCGGCGGTATCCAGGGGCATCGCTACGATACCCGCAACGGTGAGTCGCTGTTCCATTGTCAGTAGTTTGGGACATCGCTAATCTTTCGTGAACAGCCAAAGGAAAGGGAAAGCAGAAGCAGGCGACTACCGACGAAGACATGAACACATCGAGTGAGGACGAAGAGGACCAACCTTTATACGTGTGCGTCCGCCGGCAGGGTACAAGCCCATACTACCTCATCGCCGAAGACGACAATCTCTTCCTTGTTCGTTATGAACACGCTGGAGAATGGGACCGCATGCTGAAAGAAGGCCCCAAAGGCAACCTGAACTCCTTTACCTTTAACAGCGCTTGTAAGTATTTCGCAAAGTTACCTCTACGGGGCAGTCGCTAACCCCGAACAGCCCGTGTTGAGCTATCTTCCTTCCCCAAAGGCTTCAGCATCCGACTAATCGACTGTGGCATGACCTCGAAGAAGAAGCCGGCGAACGCTCCAGTCGGTACCACGAATCGCGATACGCTTGACGACAACACCTTTCATCTACTACACCCAGAGACAAATAGGCTGAAGCACCGTGAGTACTATTACTCTTACAATAGGCACGACAACTCGGTCGAAGAGGCGAAGATGTATCCAAAATGGGACTACGGAATCGCTAAGTATAACGAGAGCGTGTTGGATGAGTTTCTGAATGCGCTGCAGGATCTAGTGTTGGATGCCGCTGGCTCGTGGACCGACAACAGGCCTTGATTGGGATATCGTGGTGCGGTCCGCAGATTCTAACCTTGGAATGGATCGGCGTGATGGACGTGGAATGAGGATCGTGGGTGTTTTGGTATGTATCCAGTCATCCACTCTTGTCGAAAAATGCGCAGCCAGCACCACAACAAAAGTGTAAACGTGAATCGCGTCGCGAAGTGATGTGACAAGGAAGCCCAGAAGACAGGTCTTGTGCTCGAGCTCCCCCCCTGGAATGCCCGCCCGACCGCCAAGCCCTGTCCCCACAAAATACCCGTCCTGTACCTCGGTGAAATTCCCCGAACACCAGCATGTCACTTACCCCATTACCACTTCGCCCCGTCGTTCCTTCACTCAAATCGCATGTTTGATAGACCGGATTACGCATTTGTCGATCGATCTCATGGAACTTCACGCCGAAGTTGCCTAGAAGCGTAGGTATTGGAAAGACCGGGGGGCAAGAGTGTGAGTTACTGAGGAAGATGCTCCGTGGCCAATGAGCGGGAGGGATGGGGGATGCTGGAATGGGGTTAGTGCTCTACGAGGCTCGCGATGTGGCATAAGGGGGTTTGTGGTGTTGTTGGTGGTCATATTGCGACGGCGGATGAGGAGTTTACCAATGGTTATACTTACATATAAACGTACTTTTGCGTGTACATGTGAGACTTGCAACGTGCTCAGATCGTTGCGGTGGTCGCAGACATGTTCAGCGTAGAGACGTCACGTGGTGAGATTCTGCCCAGGTGCACGGTATCACGAGGGCGCTTCGATGACTTCACCGATGGAAGGTGTGCGCAATGCAAGACGAATATGATTCTCAGATGCAAACATATGTATTCTACTATTACAACAATGGGAACTACATGCGATGCGAGAATATGTGATGCAGGGGTATTGTGTTGCCAGAAACGCCAAATGGACTGTGCTGGGCCGGAGCCGAATGATGTGATGCGAACGCCCAAAACTACCGATGATATGCCGGGGGGTATCTTACTACAAGACTATCGAGAACATGCGAAGAAGAAAAGAAAATATCGCTACACAACGTGTGATAATGCGCCACTGGTCTGTCTGTTGCCGGGTCTGCCGGGACCGCATTGGCCAGGTGCAGTGGCTATGCGTGGCTTGAACGAGATGCGAGATGCAATGCTCATGAATGAACACATCAACGACGCGACCGTCTCCGGCCACTCGACTCGCCACTCCGATGGCTTGGTCTAGCTGAGGCCTGCGAGCTGCTTACGCAATCCCAATTGAAAGGTATCTGCGATGTCGGAATCGTAACACCTTCATACCGTCGCAGTCTTTCTCGGCGCGGGGGTGGAGAGGGTTGCGCAAACGCTTCTTGTCGGACTTCCTCAAGCGCCTGGTTCGTGGCAGCAAGTACAGCGAACCTTCTGTCAGGCACGCGACGAGCAGTTGTGTTCGGTGTGCGAGAACGCGCTTGGCGCGGAGAAGAAGCTGACTGGTCGTGCTGACGAGAACGGTGGTGGCGGTTCTGAGACCGTGACGACTCTGGACTTGTCTGAGATGCAGTCGAGGAGCGATGCTGGCGGGACGAGCGGTTGCTACGAGGCGAAGAATCCAGGGTCTGGTAACTGCGGTGTTCGCGCTTTGGTGTCTTAGGCGGGGAGGGCGCAAAGAGTGACCAACCCCGAGAAGGTTCTGGTCGGACGTTCTTCTTGGATTTTGAATGTCTTACAGGGTCGCGCTTCGCTCCGCGCCCGCGCAGAGTGCTTTGCGACGTTTGCTTTGGGTGCTGCCGCCGACGGTGTTGACTTCGGTGGGGGCGTGGGTTCAGCAGAGCCTCCTGCGATGAGTTGACGCTACTTGGCTCAGCTGCACGGCGATAGACCTGCGGCACTTCGACGTCCAGTGTCGAGCGGCGTCTCTCGCGAGTTCGGTATGCATCTTCGTACTGGTGTTGCGATCGCGGACGGTGCTCCTCCCTCTCTCTTTCGTGGCGCGGTGACCGCGGAGATCGCGGGGTAGAGTCACCAGATCTTCTTCTTCTGCTCGAGTCCTTGGAACTGCGCTTCTCTGAATATTCTGCAGCGACTTGCCTTCCCTCTCCATGAAGCGCGCTATCCGCCGGTCGGTCCCGCCTCTTCTTCTCGTCCGACGACGACGAGTCCTTACGCTTTTTGTTGCCTGGAAAGCCAAAGTTGAAAGACCAACACATGGCGACCAAGATGCAAGTCTCGGATCGCTGTGCGCCTAAGATTCAAGTCCAGTATCCAGGTTCTGAAGAGGTGATGACTGCATGCATGCAGATGCCGAAGTTCGGAAAGCTAAATTCGACGATGGGGGACGCGGGTGATACTTAAGACGCGCGACACAAGCCAATAGACAGGAACAATCTAGCGTTTCAAGGGAAGGAGACTTGAGAGAAGCGGATTGAGAATTATGATATCATGTGAAGACAAAGAGTGTTCCGGCCGGGCAAGGGAGCAAGTGCACCGCAGTCGCGGCGTGGAGGCCAAATTCCAATAGACGCATGGCCATAAGCTAAATCAAGAAAGGATTCAGTCAAAGTACCTTGTATCGAGGGTTTGCGCTCCAATCAGGGCACAGCCCACTTGATGGTGTGCGAGAAAGTGACTGATTCGTAAGTTTGCACACAGTGGCTTACTGGGCCACATGACACCTCGGGCTCCAGCTGATCGCCTCATTGTCTGGCGCACTGCAGATGTCGGTCTGCAGTGAAATGGAGTGTAGAACACTGGAACACCAGCGCAGGGCCGGCTGTCAGTCTTATAAGCTGCAGCGATCTGCCCGCGACGTTTATGCTTCTTTGTGTGCGGCTTCTGTGCGTACCTGCGTCGCTGCTACGTGGCACCTGTGCTGTACAGAAGAGCGGCGGGACGGTTGCGGGACGATCCTGGGTGCAGAGTTCGGCCATGCTGCGAGGGTGATGGGCATTGCTAGCTGCAGCATGGTGCATGATGGTGCAGGTTAGCTGCATGATGATGACCGCCTGACCAGCCGAGCGCTGCAACATGTTGGGTTCCTTATCCTTATCGGCCCATCAGCGACGTCATTGGTGCGAGAGCGCCCCACCGCCCCAAGCGAGCTGTGAATGCTGGCTGCGATGCCTCGCAAGGTTTCAGCCATTCCTCATCATCGCCTTCAAGGGTTGCACGGCCGCGGGAGTGTGCTGTTCCTGCTTTTGCACGTCCTTAGCACAGACGGCGTTCGCGACACACACGCTCCGCCTCGACGCCTTGCTGCAAGCAGTTCGCGCGCGTCGCGGAGCCTTGGTAGGTCCGAGATAGCTGGCCAATAGTCGCGCGCAGACGCCTTTTCCCAACCAAGTCGTGGCGTTTCCAATGAATCGAGGAACCATTCGGAAGCAAGGCAGAGCAATCTATATTGCAATTGCCGTGACCGACACCATCAGAACGATATCGGCGGCGCCGGAGTATTGAGAAGCAGCCTGGGTTAGAACATGTCGCATGCTATACGATGACCCATCCAATGAAGAGCTGAAGCTGATCGTCCATCAAGAGGTGGGGATGCGGTAGAACCCGAGATCAAGTGCTTGCGACTCGTTCCGATCGCACTTGCACGAGTCCTGTCAGTTCGGTGTCGGGCTGTTGCATGGCGACTTGGCATGAAGACGCGTTAACAACATGTTGCGTCATACAGGAGAGAGACTGGGGAGATGATCTGAGAACATCGCGGATGGAATGCGACATGAAGAAAGAGCGATGTCGGAAACATTCCGATGGCCTGCCGAAGGCATCCACCCACGCTGTGCAATCACGCTAATCTTCACTAGTGCCGCGCGCGCATCTTGCGGAAGCTTCATAAGATGCGGTGCAAAGATGCGGTGCACTGATGAGCGCAAAAACGTCGACCGGTCAGAAATGTCATATGCAGGTGAAAAGAATGTTAGGTCGAGACAGAAGCTGAAGCCCCAGGCAGTGCAATGGCTCAGCCCCCAATGTTGTCGCGACTCAAATGTCCTGCCACGCCGCCTGCATATCCCTCAACCATCTTCTTCTTCTTCTTCTTGACCAACTCAACTTGCTACATTGAATCTGCCTCTTCAGGCAACGGCAAACATTCACATCGATGAACAGCCTACGAACGGATGCACGGGCGCGATTTCTGTCGGAGCAGAAGTCCAAGCAAGGTGCCGAATTACACGATGCTAGAATTTCGCTATTAACTGTTGCGCAATATCCGAAAGTAGAGACAACTGTCAACCTAGGACGTATTCGTTGGCCCCAGACGTCTAAGATCTGTGACCAGATCAATAAACCTATTCGCAAGCACGGAGACGCGACAGCAACAGCATCCATGCGGCTGATAAGCTTGGAGCGCGATTTCGACGGAGTCCTTTCCATCGACCATCGAACCTTTCTGGAGATCTTTGACAACTTCGGGTATGATCCGTACTGGCTTGGCATGATACAGTTTTCCACATACGGGTTCTTTCCTCGACTGAAGGAAGGTGGTACACAGTATACTTGCTACCTACATACTGTGTCGTATACGATGCTGTGGACTTACGACTCTCGTGAGACGACCACCAAAGCCGTGCTCATAACCCGAGAACATTCCCAGTCTCCTCAGCTGATCTACATGGGTATGATGGGCATTATCATTCGCCACAAAGATCTTGTGAACGACGCGCGTTTCTGTTCTTTCGTGTGCGCCATACAGATGGTCGATTGGATCGAAGGCACTGCTCTCGAAAACTTGGGCCGCATTCGATCCATAGAGGTTACCACTGGACATGGCGCATGGCATGAAGTGCAGCACGACTCTACTCCAAGTACAGATGACCTAGTGAAGGATTCTAAGCAGCTAGGATTGGTACTTACAGATCTTGCAAATATCCCGCGGCACGCGTGCATTGTAAGAGCAATTCTCGACGACCTTGCATCAGTCCAACCGTTGTCATTTCGGCAATCGGCGCTTGCGCAATCCTCGAACACCAGCGTTCCAAGCCCCTTCGACGACATTACTGTTGCTGCATCAATGTTGAAGGGCCAGACACAATCGAGCGAGCTGCAGGCATGTTATCTCCAGGAACGTGGTCGGACACAGCAGGCTGTAGTACGTTGATACAAAAGATTGAAGACGTTGCCTCACCAGCTGATCGTGAAACACAGATTTTCAATCTCCTCACACGCGACGATGCCAAAAGCAGCAAAGACATCGCACTAGCAGCGCGAAAGGACAGTTACTCGATGAAGACTATAGCGATCATGACTATGATCTTCCTGCCTCCCACCTTCTTCGCTACTCTTTTCGCTATGCCTTTACTGAAGTGGGACGAGCCAAAGGTCATACAGCCAAGCTTTGGCATCTACTGGGCTGCCTCTATACCAACCACTGTGGCAGTACTTCTGATCTGGCATTGGATGTCATCTGAGAAGACTATCTTCGCTGACGCATGGAGGTGGAACAAACACGAGAGGCACGAGGTCGACGAAGATATTGACCTTGAGGAGGCTCAAATTAGGAGGAGCGTCCTGTGTCACCCTTATAGACTGAGATATGGGTCGAAGCAGAAGGGGGTGTAGACTTGAAGCATTGGTCTATCGACATCCATCAGTGAGGAAGGTTCGTTCGGCTCTTTCGCATATCTCCGCGTCTTTATCTCCGGGTGGGGCACCCCGCTGTCGTCATCTCGCGACAACGACGGCAGGCATGAAGCTCTCCATCAACAATCCTTACTTCGCACTACTGCACAACTCAAACAGAAAGCCAAGATGCCTCTCATCGCGCAGAACCCCAAAGACCGAGTCATCCTCGGATTGATGACATTTGGTAAGCTTCGCAGATCAACAACCCAACACCATGACTAATGCATACCAGGTCCCGACGAGACCAGCGGTGCGCGCATCACAGAATTCGATGAATTCACCAAGCATCTCGACTACTTCCAATCCCAGGGCTACGATGAGATTGACACGGCGCGCATGTACGTTGGCGGCAAGCAAGAGGCATGGACGCGCCAGGCGGGGTGGAAGGACCGCGGCTTTACTCTCGCCACCAAGGTGTATCCTTATGAGGCTGGCGTTCACAAGCCCGACAGGCTGAAGGAGCATTTCGAAACTAGTCTCAAAGAGCTGGGGGCGGACTGCGTGGATATCTTCTACCTGCATGCGCCGGACCATTCCGTGCCGTTCGAGGAGACACTCGGTGCTGTGAACGAGCTGCACAAGCAGGGCAAGTTTGTCAACTTGGGTCTCTCGAACTTCGCTGCATGGGAAGTCGCAGAGGTGTACAACATTTGCAAGGAGCGAGGCTGGGTGAAGCCGACCATTTACCAGGCCATGTACAACGCAATTAGTAAGTTCCCAGCTTTTGACGTGGGGAGCATCGTCTAACCGTGCAAGCCCGCGCCATCGAACCCGAGCTCATCCCAGCGTGCCGCAAATACGGCATCGACATCGTCATCTACAACCCCCTAGCCGGCGGTCTCTTCTCCGGCAAGATCAAATCCAAAGACATCAAGCCCGACGAAGGTCGTTTCGGCACCAAAGCAGACCGCGTAGGAAGCATGTACCGCGACCGATACTTCAAAGACGCCACTTTCCAGGCTCTGAAGATCGCTGAAGATGCTGCACAGAAGCACGACCTGACCCTACTCGAGATAGCGCTGCGATGGTGCGTTCACCATTCCGAACTGAAGACCCGAGTCAAGGGCGGCAACGACGGTGTGATCATTGGTGTTAGCAGCTTGAAGCAGTTGGAGGGCAATCTTGCGGATTTGGAAAAGGGCCCGCTGCCTGATGATGTGGTGAAGGCGTTGGATGAGGCTTGGATGGCTGCTAAGGCTACGGCGCCGACTTACTTCCGGTAGACGGTAGTTGATATTCCGCTAGACTACCCAACCTTCGTTTCCAACTTGCCTTGAGCATTTCCCGTGCTTTATCCATGAGCTAGACGACTAGAATCGGTTCAGAGTCCCACGCCGGCCAACTCCACCACATCAATACTCCACCATATGCATACTAGACTACCATGTATTCATCAAGGTCTATTTTCGGACCACGAGCCACCAGCATCTCTCACTAACGTCTCCAGTTGAGAGACAAACGCATCCCACACGTTCTCATTGTGCTGAGCAATCCCGTCGTGCCACTGTGGGTAATTCTCCCCTTCAGACACGCCATCACCACCCACCCCATAGTCTCGATGCAGCAGATCATCTGGCCCTGCACAGATAACGTGGAAGGAGACGTCATATACAGGCCCGCCACTTGTTGAGTAACCCTTTCCCCTGAACTTCAGCCCGCATGCGATGAAGCGAATGGTATAGCCTTTGGTGAACGGCAAGATCTCAATGCGTGCTAACGGTATGTATTAGCTCAGATAATAGGTTCTAGGGTGTTGGGCCCACTCACAATGTTCGTTCAACTTCAACGGCCAGTGTGGTTCCTTCGGTCCCTGTTCATGCATACGGGTGAAATCTCCATCTTCGTCGTCGAAACTTACACCTCTAAACCGCGGCCATCGTGAGTGGTAGACTTTGGTGTCGTCTACAATGAGGTATTCGTACTTTCCTGCGTCTTGGCGGCAGCAGAGGAAGGTCGCTTGGTTCAGTGTTAGTGTTCATGTACGTCGGTTATCTTGAGAGGACGTACCACGGTGTGTTCCTGTAGGCTCAATGCTGTCCTCAGCTGCTTTGTGGCTGTTAGTGACAACTCTTCCGGTCTCTCATAGAGTAGTCACTTACCGTTGGCAGCATCTCCACTGGCCTCGCTACCGGTTGCTCGCGACGATGGTTTCGTGCCTTCCTTAGCATCATCCAGACCTTGGAGCTCTTGACGCTGAGTGGACTCCCTCGATGCTACGTCGTCCATGAGGTCTTGATCTCGCTCGGTGAATGAGCTTAATTGGGTCCGAACTCCAGGACCATCGGCCGGCTTATAGAGAATCTCAATGCCATCCGACAGTACTGCTTCGACCAGGAGCACACAGTGTATGCGAATGCGGCTCTGTCTGCCATGTTCACGGTTGGACCGGAAAGTGTGCGAGATCTTTCCCAAGTAGAGTCCCACAAGTAGCTGAAGCCCGTCGTGTGTTCAAGGGCGTCTGGGCGCTTCACGACTATCGAGGTATGGCCGGGGATGTCTGCGAAGTTTTCTGCGATGTAAATCCCAGGCCATCGGGTGGTGTAGTACATCTCCGGGTCCTGGCTTGTGATGGTCTCGAGGTCTTTGATTGCGTCTTTGAGCTTGATGATGGCATTACGCGTTTGGGCCATTGTGTTTTGCTATCTCTTGGTACCGAGTGAGCTTTTGGTGGGTGTGATAGAACGAGATTAGGCGTCATTATATGATGAGTCTTGTAGCAAGTTTGATAGTAGTATAGTTGCGTCAGGTCAAGCTTACTACGGCAATCGATCGGTTTAGTCACAGCAAGCAGGCTTCAAACAAGGCGACGTCAGCACCCGATGCGCTCCATACATTTTCGGCACCAGTCGTACCATCCTAGGTCTCGATACCAAAATACAAAAAACCATCACGCAACCCACGCTTTCGACTTGCGCAGCCTGGATATGTTCTACCAGGTACATGCAAGTAACTATTCAAATTCGCCTCAAATCAGGTACTGTGCAACAAATGCAAGAGACAACAAGCTATGCATTCATTAACTCCAAAATTGCAACAATACATGGATACCTGGTTATCACAGCCTCTTACGAATGGGTTTTCAAATCTGAGTGATGTCAAAAGTCTACATCACTGCACGTCGTCTCTTCATACTGCATCGCAGATGTTCTCGTTGTATACTACACTCTACTCACTACCTCCATCGCCACCTTCCATGCCGTCTTCCCCATCACCGTCCTCCCCAATGCTCTCTCCACCTTCTTCGCCTTCTGCCTCATCTTCTGCATCTATGTCAACAAGCTCACCGTCCATCCGCTTACACAACCGTATCCTTCCCTCTCCAACAATCTCCTCCAGCTTATCCATAAACTTCGGAAACACCACCACATTATGTTCTGCACAGTCTTCATAATGCGTCCCCTGCGCCCTACTGCTGTACCTCCCAGGCCTCCCATGCTTCAGTTGAGCATGCCAACGATCGTCAGGTAAGTGCATGTGAAACTCCTTCCAAGGGAATGTGGCCCAGCTACTCGTTGTGCCCTGGCCGCCATATAAATTTCCCTCTATGGGGGGGCCCTTGAACCGTGTAGTATAGCCGCAGTTGTTGAGGCGTAGGGTGTATCCGTATTTGAAGGTGTAATAGTCGATGTGGAAGGCTTTAGCGCCTTCTTTCCTCGCAAGAACATCAACGGACCTGTTCCTGCCTAGCTGCATCTTTGGTGCGTTTTGGTCTTGTAATTCGAGAGTTAGAGTGGCCTGGCCTGCATTGTGCTCGTAGACATAGAGGAGTAACGCTGGTGGATTGTTAGCTTTCGTCTCGGCAGCTTGCTAATGTGGTATAGAGTACTTACAGTCATCGCCTTCCTCTGGGCCTTCTGTGTTGACGTGCTCGGCATTTTCGTGTTCAGTGGTCCCATGTACGGTGATTCCATGGTCAGTATCCTCGTGGTCGTTGGTGTCACGTTCGGGATTCTCCATACTGATAGGGTGAAGTCTGATGGGAATGAACTGATCAAGATGAACTAGGCCACAAGACGAGCCTTATGTATCGTGAGTACGCGTGCAGATTGCACAAACCCGTTTTCCAGCTTGGACATGATTGCAATAATCATACCTGCGCAAACAACTACAAAGACCGCATGTTCAAACCTATTCCCCCTTGTCCAACCTATTCAACGTCTCCATCACTGTCTTCCTCCTCCGCATCATCGTCTACTAACTCATCGCCAACTTTCTTGCACCTCATCATATTCTCCGCTCCCACCATTCTCTCCAATGCATCCATAAACCGAGGAAAGACACCAGCGTTGTATTCTGCCTGCTGTGGGTTATGCGGACCATACGCCCTTCTCTCACGACCAGTCATGACTTCATGAGAGAAACCTGCATGCCATACGTCCTGCGGAAGATGAACATGGTATTCCTTGTAATTATGCCGTATTTGATCATCTCCCCGGCCGGTTGTGGTGAAGAGATCGCAGTCGTTAAAGCGGAGGCTGCGACCTTCTTTGAAAGGGTAGCATTCGATGATGAGTGGGTCTTCACCGCCCCTGCCTCTGAAATGGATGGTCTTCCGGTGTGAGGTGCCTTGTGTGGGGTTGAGGTATAGTAACATGGTTTCCTCGTCGAGGGTAAGGGTTGCGTGGCTCGTATGATGCTCGTATACGTGAAGGAATAGCGCTGAGCATGGTTAGTACCTGAACGTGATGTTATGTATGTACTCTAGTCTACTCACGGTTGTCCATATCTACAGGCGCAGTGATAGCGGGTGCAGAGGCAATCGCTGCGTCGCCGTCTTCTTCCTCTTCACTTTTCTTGGCATGCTGAAAGAAGTCCTCGGAGGCAGTCACGTCTGATTGTTGTTCGGTCAGTTCGGGGTTCTCTTCGGTCTTGTCAGTTGGGTATTTGGTGTCCATATCGACGTTGACGAGAATGATTGAAGTGGTAGGACCGGCATCGACCTCTTGAGAAGACGAGCGTTATGTACTGTCATCACGCTGAGAAGCTTGCTAAGGTCACTCCTGACGCTTGAATATATTTGCTGTTTATCAGTAGAGAGCCTGATGACGGACGACAAACACGCGATGACATTGGTGATCATCTTCCCCGCCAGTGTGACGGAACAGGAGGAGAGACAACACCGCCGCAGTTACAATACTGACAACAGGGAAGCGGGTCGACGTGTGTGTCATTACTGCGTACTCCCTCATGCCTACTAGATGCGATGTCGCGGTCGATCGTCGAGAAGCTCAGGAAATCGATCCAGCGAGATTCATAATGCTATATACTGTGGCTACAGCGTAAGCTCAATAGTGGTGTCAAAGTCGCAATGATGCTACAGCCAGGTTCCCCGTTCCGTTCCGTTTCCGCGCGGAGCAATGACGTCCGCCACTAACCCTCTTCGAGTAACGCGTGACACCGCGTTCGCGCTTCTCCAGGGCTCCCAAGTGCTTTCGGTCGGTGTCTACTCCGACGCGCATGAGCAAGGATGAGTCGACTGATTGCGAACATTTGAGCATTCCGTCGGATAATTTCGCGCGAGTAAGCGCTAGGAAAGGGCGTAGTGCTACTATCACGCAGGTCTGCTCTGCCCTTTCAGCGTGTACATAAGTGGGGTGTTGGATGAAGCATACCCGGGGACTTAGGCAACCCACCGCCAACGTTGTCACATCCCCTCATTCTGTACACGCTTCAACGCCAAGGACCTTAACAACATCAATCACGATCATGGCGTCTCAAAAAGCAGAGTTCATCAAAGTACCGACCGATAACTCAGATGGTTTCCAAACAATGCCCGTAGAGCCCTCGAGACGACTCTCAGAATCTGAACTACGCATCGAAAAGTGCACTCCACAAGATGCCGAAAAGATCGTGAGTTCTTCCATCTTCCTTTACCCAGCTCTCCCACCCCATAAAACCCATCAAACTAACACCCCCACCCAGGCCGAAGGTCTCTACCTGTGCTTCCCAGATGACTGGTGGGCCAAAAAAGAGCCCCCAGAGATCCACCCAGCAGGCGAGAACAGCCTCCAAATCCGGATCCAACGCATGGCCCAACGACTAACCCCCGCCATCACTGATCCCCATCATTGCTTCATGAAAGCCGTCTACACCCCCACCGGCGAAACCGTAGGAATAGCAGGCTGGACCCTTCCCTCCAACCCCTCCGTACACAACCTCTTCCGGCGCAGCGCCGCCACGCATTACGGCTGGAAAGAGAAACAAGGCTGGACTGAGGAAGAAATGGACGAAATGTGGAGTCACGTCAGCAACGAGAACTGGAGCGAGCGCTTCGGCAAAGACGATGAGATGAGGCGGGAAGCGACGGGTGGGCAACGGCATTGGTATCTTGCGCCGCTACTTACGTGGCCGGAGTGGCAGGGAAGGGGCGTGGGGAAGAGATTGATGGAGTGGGCGTTGAAGCAGGCGGATGAGAGGGGAGAATTGATGTATCTGGAGTCAAGGCCGAGTGCAAGGGCGGTTTATATGCATCTCGGGTTTGTGGAGTGCGGGGAGTATAACATGCTCAGGCGGCCGGGGGCGTGAAGGGCTCGGAGACGGAAGAGGAGAGAGAGAGAAGACCGGACTTCCAATATGGGTGTTGCGGCAAAGAATGCGCAGGCCGATCTTGACGATTGAGTGGTCTTTAAGATGCCGAGAGTATCGTGCTACTTCGAGATTATAGGGCAGAGTGCCTGTCGCTGCTGACCTCACGAATATACCAACTATCTACGTGGCTTCTGTGGATGCGATGCGAAGTGCGGAGTCTCTAGAGGTAACCAAGCTTTTCAACAAGGCTGTACCAGGGACTACAGACAGCGGAACAATTACGTATAAAAATCCATCGACAATCGGCGTCGTCAAATGCAGCATCACGCTTCCCATCTTCGCAGATTAGTATCAGATCCAAACAATACCTAATGCATCTCGACCCAGGCTTCTACTCATTCTCCATGTTCTTCCAAGCGACAGCAAGATGCTTTCCGTTGTAATACTTAGGCGCAGCTCCCGCACCGGCCATCTTGCGGCGACGTTCCTCGCTGAATTGAAGGACCAAATCAGCCGCCAACTGCGCTTGACCAACCAACAGCTCTTGGAAAGCCGGTGTTGCACCCAGGGCATCTATGTGAACAATCACGTACTCCAGTACTTCCTCCCGTAGCGGATCCTCGTCCTGGGTGTTTTCACTGGAATACGCGAAATTGACCAAAGCAACGATGTCATCGATGCGCTCACGTGTCTTGAGGAAGTCGCGATGCATGCACAGCTTGAGTGCCTCGTGGAGTTTGTACAGGGCCAGATCCTTTAATGGGAGGATCATGTAGTAATCGGCGAGACAGTACATCTTGGCGTTGAGAAGGAAGATGGCTTTGTGCCCACGTTCACTGTCTCCTACGCGCTGTGCGGAATAGTCCACGGCGACCGTGTCCGCGGCGTGAGACGTGCGGAGGTTAAGCGCGTAGGTGTTCTCAACAAACTCCTCAAAAAGGCTGCCGCTCTTCGTACCCTTGATTTCGTCGATGATTTCGTCCAGCGGTTCTTCAGCAAGGACTCGCAGGTATACAGCATCCAGATCGTGTTCTTCTGCGTCTTCTGCACCTTCTTCAATATTTTGTTCCTCCTCCTCATCGTCTGCACTGTCTTCTTCATCGTTGTCTAACATATATTCGTTATCATCATCATCATCTTCTTCCATCGCCTCTGCGTCCTCTGAACTTTGTGCATCATTTGGGTAAGAGCCTGTCGTATAGTCGCTACGATATGCGAACTCAACAAGACCAAGAAAAATGGGTTTCTCGACTTCAGGCAACGTAGCGCATTTCTCTTCTGACTCTCTCATCGGACCGTTGATGAGACGGTCGAAGGGCTTCGATAGACTTGCCATGACCTGGGCGTGAGCGACTACCGGCGCGCGCTCTTCACCAACGAAGAATGTGAACTGCGGCGACGACAGCATTCTGAAGTGTGTCAGCGACGGGTTGCAAGCTGATAGATCATGATTAACTTGTTCTGGGAACGAAGGCGCCATCTTGGCTGTGGTTGGCGCTCTGCGCACGGGCTGGGGTTGATGATTGAGAGGTCCAGGGACAGATAGTGGTCGTTGCCTTCAATCTACTAAAGTCGAGCTAGAGACGGACATATGCTATGTACAGGGGCAGTTGCGCATGAAACCAGAGCCCCGAAAATACCTTGTGTAGAGCTGCTGAATATAAGGTATGGCAAACAATGGACGTGAGAACTGGAAGGAAGTTTCGGGGCTGACGAGCTAAAACGTTAGCGTATTCCCAACAGGGAAAGGCGTGAGCCCGGACCGATCTCAATCACCACCGATTAGTTCGCTCCTATGCTCGCTCACGCAAGTGTATAGAAACACTGCCTTCTGGGTTGCTGGGCTTCGAGCTCGAAGCTGGAGTCCTCTCACCAGTTGTTTGAGTGTATACATTGGTGGGTTGTTAAGTCACTATGTGTGGGTGGCCAGTGTTCGTCTAGGTTTCATCAACCATGGTATCAAAATACTGTTGACAAATCCGCGTACAACCAGGTAGTGTCATTAACCTGGCGGCTCACTACACCACACAACCGGCTGTGCTCTTGTGTTCGCGCTTGTATTGTGAACGGCCGATTATACTCACTTTGACTGTTGATAGAGAGTGGAACTTTCTTCCAGCACAAATCGCACAATGAACATACTGCTAGCAACCAATGTACAGTTAGACTCTGGGCGAACTGAGAGATGACGATGTACTTTTCGTTTCACTCGACACTGAATTGACGAAAGGCCGGGTGAAAGGTATTGTTGAAAGCTGTATGTTGTGCACATCGCTGATATAATGACACCCTCCGAGGGCGACAACTTGGAAACGTGCTTCCATACCTTCAACCGTATATCTCTTGACTCTTCATTCCAAATCGACCACGCACGCTTGCAAATCCTTGGATAACAATAGCATCGTACCTGACGGCATGGAGAAGCCGGGCAAAAGACCTTCGAGCACCGCTCTTGAATCAATGAACGCGCAATCACCACAAACGAAGACCTCAGGCATCTCGAAACCCAAAGGCTTCCTAGATCTTCCCGGTGGTAGGTGATGACGATGAGCTTGCCGGCACTTTGCTAATCATTGTTCCAGAACTACGTAACCGGATATATGGTTACTGCCTCTCAGGCGTCGGACTGTCGACAGCGGTCGGTTTGGGCAATGCATGCCGAACCACTCGGTCGGAGTACATGCCTTTGTACTTTGGCTCGGTCAGGACTCGTATCCACTTTGTGCTAGTAGAACGCTTTCTCCGGACATTCTATAGTGATACGTCGGTCTTTGCTCCACTTCCCGCCTGTAAGCTACTCGTCGGACTCAGTCGCGATCACGGCTGGGGACCAAATACCAGTGTCGACCTCAAATGGCTAGGCGGGTGGCTGCGTGGTCACCCCAAGGCCGAAGTCTTGATTGAGAACAGGCCGATCAGTCTTTTTGAGGCAATTGATTATGTTCCGTCACTCTTGGGATTCGGTTTGTGGCTTAAAGATATGGATGCTCTTACCCTATGCGCACAGCCAGTGTCGTGTCATGCTCCGTCTGGTGTGCGTAGGCACGCGATTGATTGGGTGTTGACATTAGTCATGAAGCCAGAGTCTGCGCGCCGCATAAGGTGCTGCAATCGGAACCGGGTGGACTACTTTGGAGGGACCTTGACGCGTCTGCGTCTCCGGGGTGGAATTGATGGCGAGAAGATTAGCTCCCTTGAGTTCCGGGTGTCTGGCGGGGGTGAAGATTGGCAGGTCAAGATGGATATTTAGAAGGCGTGGTGAGGTACTGAAGACTGTGGTGAAGGATAGCTTTATGGCTGAAATCAGAGTTGGTGTTACCATGATACTTCCAAGGTTGTCAGTGTGATGTGGTGATGTCGGGAAGAGACGTTCGAGGCCGCCCGCGGAGGCGCGTATAGAACGGCCGGCTAGCCGGATTGGAGCTGGGACTAGCGCCAATTTGCGCGCGCCAGGCCCGCTCATGCAAACATGACGGACTCAGTCTCGCACCACCACCACCATGAGGGTGCGATTGACGCCGTTGCGCCTCTTGTGCGTCGCCATAACCCTCGTGACCTTCCTCTTCACGTCGCTCGTCTTCCGGCTATGGCGGGGCGAGCGCGGCTACGACATACTGCAGGAGCGGCCCCCTCCCGCTGGGCCCGCGCCCGTCTCTCCGGTGCACTTTGGTGAGGAGTGCTCGCCCTTCACCGCCGGCGTCATGGAGCGCGTCACCATTGTGCTGAAGATTGGCGCCGGGGAAGTCGCGACCCAGCTGCCGCTGTATCTCAACCGATTGGGAAGGTGCAAGCAGGACCTGCTCATCTTCTCGGACCGCAAGGACTCGCTCAACGGCTTCGAGATTGCCGACGCCCTCGCCCACCTGCGCCCGGAGTACAAGTTCAACAACCCCGACTTTGACGTGTACGACCGCATACAGGCCACGAACAGCACCCAGGACAAGACGGAGGAGGGGTGGCGGCTGGACAAGTACAAGTTCCTGCCCATGATGGAGTGGACGTCATACATGCGGCCCGAGTCGGAGTGGTATGTCTTCCTGGAACTCGACACCTACGTCAACTACGACAACCTGTACCGCTTCCTCTCCAACTTCAACCCCAAGACGGCCCACTATTTCGGATCCCCCGTTTGGCCCAAGAAGAAGACTACCTTCGCACATGGTGGGACTGGCTTCGTGCTATCGCGCGCGGCGCTGGACAAGATCATGGCGCTGGGCAGGATGTTTGGCGAGAACAAGCACTTCCCCGGGACACACTTCTTCGGCGTCGACGTCAAGAAGCAATGCTGCGGAGACGAGATGCTAGCGCAGGTGCTGAAGAAGAGCGGAGTCTCCCTCCGCGGATACTGGCCCATGTTCAACGGCGAGAAGCCTTTTAGCATGCGCTTTGACAACGAGCAGTGGTGCGAAGCCATCATGACGATGCACCACCTCGGCGAGGACGACTTCACACGACTCTCCCAATGGGAACAAGCGCGATCGCATCCTGAACGACCGCTCATGTTCGAAGAGCTCTTCACAATGATCGAGCCACACTTGCAGGAGAGAGCCGAAGACTGGTCCAACATGTCCGAAGACGTCACATACCGAAAAGGCAAGACAGCCTCCAAGTCCTTCGACAAATGCCAACGGGCTTGCGCGAAAGACGGCCGCTGTCTGCAATTCGAACACGACGGCATCGAATGCCGCCTCGGATACTCCATCCGATTAGGCCACCACCAAAGCCGCGAGGGCGAGCGCTCATGGGTGTCTGGGTGGATGCTAGGCAGGATAAAAGCTTTCAAGCAGGCTCGCTCGCCTTGCCAGGGCGCACGTTTCGTTCATTCGAATCCTTGAGCGGGTTTATCGCGACGTAATGGACGACGATATGAACATCTTTCCTGCACGATTTTACGGCATTGTACGGCGTTTGATACCCCAAAGGCGTTTTTGTGATGGCACGCTATTGTATATATTGTGCAGGTTGTCGGCATATACGCCATGGGTTGGAGGGGTGATGGGTGGGTTGGCGGAAACATGCCGCAATACGCGACGCAGAGTAATGGAAGGAAATCTGCGCAGAGACTCTGCGGCGCCACGATCGAGTCGGCGTATGAGGCCTTCGAAGGTTAATCTTTTGACGCAACGCCAGCCGCGTCTTGCGGCGACTAGCGCATGACGCGCGATCCCGTCGTACCTTACATGAGATGGTTGGGCCATTTGCATACATCTTCGACCTCAGTCCACGCTTCCGGTGCTTTCGAGGCCCAACGCTCCTCGCGAAACGCCAAGACAGACATGATGGCTACAAGCTACTGAAATGAAGGGACGGACCAGTATGTAACTACTCAACGACCGTACCTAATACGACAATAATCGCCATTTGCAGCGAGGAGAATTTTTCCGTGTTTCGTCAAGAACTCATCAATTGTTACTGACGATCTAGGATCATGTGGTGTGATCATGCTCAAACATCATGAGGGGTTTGAGCAAGCCTCTCGGTGTGCTCACAAGATATAGAGACCTTCTCCACACAGCCTTGTTGGCGTTCACAATACGGCCACTTTCCACATTCACCATCTGGACATGGAGGAGGCTAACAACACAAGTAACCAGGGCGAAGAGGACGACCTCAAGGAGTACTTTGTACACAAGGTCCCAAAACTGTACATCGCCGTTGATCCCAAGAACGACAACGGCCAAACATCGGTAGTCAGATACGGCGAGAAGGACAATCGCATCTACCCGGTATGGGACTCTACATGGGACCGAACACCGGACACTATTCGCATGCCGAAATACCAGGCCCTTTTGACCACCAATGGTCCCCACAACGTTCTTGCTATACCCGCAAAGCTAGAGCAGACGGTTGCGGTGCATCATAGCCCACCTGGGGGCCAACAGACCACTATCTACATACATCCCACCGCCAGTGTTGACCAACACATTCCAAGTTATATGAGGATGCTAAGTGCACCAGACGAGTCCGAGGAGGAGCTTGCGAAGCCGATTCCACCATACGACCCTAAATCAGGAGAGAAGGAGGACGTACGCAGGAAGAAGCTTGTTGTGATGGTGGAGTCTGCTTCAGAGCGCAATAGAGGTGATGACAAGGATAAGGGACGCGCATTCATCGACTTATCTGGCCTTGCTGATCCCTCTAGTGCTGACCCTGAAGATACCAGCGACGGTAAGTACTGAACACTGCTATCTGACACCTCTCCGCAGAGACTACATGATGCTAACCAAGCTCTAGTACCATTCTTATACGTCTACGAGCACCATTCATCCAACGCGAAGCTGACATTCGGTACTCAAAGCACCATACAAGTGATCCGCGACAAAAAGGGATACGGCGACCTTATTTTCCACCTCAAGGAACAGGACGGCGACGCACCTCCCTATGTCGAGTACTACCGATTCAAAAAAGGCTACACGCTGCGTTTCAACGACTGCGGTGCGACGGTGCAGAAAAAACGACCCAAGACCACAGACAGCAGCACCGCTGCCACAGAAGGGAAGAAGACGAAGAGCAAGGCGAAGAAGGCGAACGAGAAAACCACTGAAGGCGACAAGAGTAAGAAGAGATCCAGTGTGCCCCAGATGGCGGAGGTTCTGTGGTACAAGGAATTTCACGTCTACTTTCCACCCGATCGCTGGAACACGGGGTTCTGGTACGACACTTGGACCGATGATTATACGGAGGGCTATGGCACATACAATGACGAGCAAGCAAAGCACAACGTGGTGGCTTTCCCGCATTTTATGGACGCGCTAGAGCAATGTTTCAACCAACGGGAAACCGACGAGAACGCGGCGGTCGAGGAAATAGTCGGGAAAGACGGAAAGAGTAAGAGGAAGGGAAGGGATAAAGCGAAGGCCGCAGCAAAGCCCGAAATGCAAGACGGAGAGGGACGGAAAGTGCATATTTTCAGGCGCAGGAAGGAAGGAGAAGTGCTTGTTCCTGATATCAATTTGAGAGTGACCAGGAAGGAAGAGGAGCGGATTATGCAGGAGAGAGCGGATGAGAAGGCGAATGGAGACGAAGATGGGGTTGCGGAAGAGGGGGTTGGGCAGGCTGCAGAGCAGGGAACAAATGCGGGCGTAGAGGAGGGGGATGATCAGATGGAAGAGGACGTGGACGTGAACACGGAGAAGTAAAAGAGACCATACGAGAGGCATGCTGTGGATTGCAGGGTTTTGGAAAAAGGGTGAACTACCTCATCGCTCTCAATACAGAAAAGCACAAGCACGACTAGGATACGATCTAGTAAAATCTGATGCGTTCGCAACTCGTACGTTGCCATCGGAAAAGGTATTGGCGCATGTGATGTCTCTCCCACTGTAATCCTGTCGCATCTGGCGACGCCACGTAATTTCCTTCTCGCTAGATGTTCTCGAAGCATTCCGTTTTGGTAAGATGACGAAATACCGGGTTGGAAAGTGTTCGGGACGAGTTGCGTGAGAATTAGGGCTGAGAAAGGGACCGGCAAAATCGGATCTCTGTTACGCCGCGTTCGACCTGAATGTCAGCACTAGGTAGCAGGACGTGAGACCCGTGGATGATCGTCGCTGCTGTCGCACGTGATCTCGGCTACCGATGGGTCGGTGGCAGGCACACAAGGCCAAGGCGGAAGATTAAGAGACGGCAGGACTAAACTCTAATATTCGCGGTGTGCGCGCAGGTTGCTTCGCACATGTCGCCCGCCCAGACTGCAAGCGCTACAAGGGCCTAAATCGGGAGTTGCAGCTGTCATCTCCACCGTTGGCACTTGTACTTGATTTAAGTGGATTATCCGCCGGTAACTGTTTGGCTTTGTGAAGCTGTGATTAACGACCGTTCATGTCTCGCCTGTTTTATGGCAAGTCTATTGGGTCTATTAAGATATCGTGCAGCTGAGACTGCGCTCGAAGATCAAACGAATCTGATGAAGAAGACCGCGAGAAGCAGACTACATTTGCCTTGCATGTCACTACGCATGGCATTCAAAATCTGATCCAACCGCAGGCATCGTACCTTCATTGCCATGTTGATCGTGCCCGGCTCCCCTTTCGCGCATTCCCGAGGTCTGTTCGCTGGTCGTCACACCGGTTCTCTGCAGCCTTAATCCTTGCATTTCGTAAGAGTTGTAAGGCCTAAAAGGGTGTGTGGGTCCAGGCTAAATCGGGTTTAGTCTTTGCGCATAGCTCTGCCCGGGTGTGATCTGTCAGGGCCAGGGTCCGGCGCGTGTACGGATAAAGCATACCCAGGTGCCCAGGTGCCCAGGTGCTTTCCGAGCGAGCCCTAGAGGCTTCCAACAAGAAGCTTTCGAATGCGCATGAACTTGGATAGTTGCGCCGTCCAGGCAAAAATGTGAACAGAAGTTTCGACAGCAGTGTTCTAGCGCTCGCGCAGGCTAGCATACCTAGGTACCCCAGGTTGTGCGCCTCGGTTGGCTGTGGTTAGGACCAGTCGATCGCAAACCAATTTCGCTTACCTACCTATGGACCCTCGCCAACGCAACATTATAACGCCCTGTGTCCTTCAGTATCCAGCCAAGCCACAACTTCGTCAATGGCGTCAGGGTCGGGTTTCAAACAAGACATGGCCGCATCAGATGAAAGTTTTCTCAATCAGCTACCAACTCTCTCACATATACGAACCTTGGAAGTCAACAGCTCGCCTCACGTCGTAATACATACTCATGATCAGCATCAAGTCACAGGATCGAGGTTGAACGCAACCGCTCGTACTAAAGCATTATCCAGGACTCGAACTCATGAAACATCCCAGGATTCATCCTATCGATAGTTCGCTGCGGCGGCTTCGTAGCTCGCTGCAAGAGCCTCCATACAATACTGCTATCAATTACAACACTTTCATCCCTTTCAATGGCTCGGTCGGTCCTGACGCAGATAGTCCGCCCTGACGCAAATAGTCCGCCCTATATATTTGGTCTTCCTCCATAAAATCAGGACATGTATGAACATACGGCCTATTCTTCACTCGCCACCATCCTGATCCGCCAACGTCTACATCTCCCCGTAGGCCTGCCTGGATACCATCCTTCTTGGACCGTGCTGCATACCTTTTCCCTTCTCTTTCGACATCTACCACCATATACCGGGCTGGATCTTTGCTTTCATGGCTGAACCTGAACGATCCCATCGGCATGGCAGTGACTCCCAGGCACCTCGTTGTTACTCTGCTGCATCCTCTCATTGCAGTACGTACGGACACGAAACAGCCTATGATGACAACTCAGTCACAGTCAAAGCCCTTTCGACAATGGGACGTATGATACCAGGTCATAGCGATGACAAAGTCGGACTTGCAACACGGCGGTTCCCAACGAGTCAATACTTGCATACATCTTCGGTGCATGGAACTGCCGAAACATACGAACCGAACCAGACCGGGGGCATTCATTCGAGCTTGGCTGAGAATCTCCACCTCGGGCCGGTTCCACCTCTGTACTCGCAATCTACGGAGGCTACCACGACGCAGAGGCAGAACCAGGCCATATATGACTTCCTGAGAAGGGGTACAGACCCTAAAAACATACCTGATTATGTTGAAACCTTCAAAATGATGACCCTTTTCGGAAATCTCCATGATCTTGCCATTATGGCGGAGATACCATCGGAAGAACTTACAAAGAGAGTTGAGAATATCGGTATGTATATGGCGGATTTCTAATTCCAACGCCATCATGCTAATACACGTCAGTGGCTTACTCAAGACCTGCCATCGCTGGGGATCTCCCGACGATTAAGCGCGAACCTCTCGAGGAAAGGCTTGACCATTCTACCACGCACGCGGACGGAAGCCAAGGGAGTAAGCGAGGAAAGCTGAGGGATGCGATGGATGCGACAATCAACAAGCCGCCGGCTCGTGTATACGGATGCCTGGGTGACGGAGGCAGGTGTCAGGAGCGAAAACACAGGTACTGGAGGTCGAAGAAGGAGTTCGGCATACACTTCGAGACCCACCTGGAAGATTACGAAACGCCTGATGGCTACAAATGCCCCGCGTGTGAGAAGAGGAGACTATCGCCAGGCATCGTCTCTATCACCACCACATCATTTTCTCACGGCCGAGATCTGGCAATGCATGTATGGTTCGAGCACATGGTCCCCTCGACCACCTCGATACAACCTCAGGATACTTCACTGGTGGCGAAAGACGGACTAAAAGAAGGTTCGACAGCCGGACAGGATCAGACCTGCGACTCTAAGCAGGGACATTTCTTTCAGGACACCATCGAGACGGAAGGGAATTGCGGTGAGCCCTGGGAGTGTCAAGACACTGAATGTGGTGTCAGCGAGCTCCACGTATGGGCTTTCAACGACGGTAGATACGATGCCGATACCGCCTCTCTTACTTAATCGTTTCGTCTCTTGGATGTCTGGAATAATATCTTACTCGAGATGGCGTATTCTTCCGCCTCGCCATTGCTATGGTTTTTTCGTTTACCTAGGTAGTGCGGCACACGTTCTTGGCCGTACCTAGGTAGTGTTACCTGGGTATCCCCTTTACTTAATCATAAGCATGTACAATACTACACTTAATATGCGCGAATTGTGAGCTATGCATTGTTCAAATCTTATCTTTAGGAAAGTTGTTGTCATATTTATCGTTCTATCATCTTTGGCCTCGGTGCATCTAGCAAGGCCGCACCTCGGTCCTGCCCAGGTTGATAGAGGGGCCTAAATGCGCGCGTTACCTAAAGTGGCTTAGGTGCCAACGTCATCGTTCCGCTCGGAATCGGAATGGAAAGCTGCACCTGGACTTTGCACATGTCGCGACTTTTTCGTCTGGCCATCACCAAGATGCTTCGTCTACAGCTCACGATGCGGAACATTTTACCGTTAGAGTCTCACTAAGTCCCGTCTACGAACAGCATTCGACGTACGCTGTGTCAAGGTGCCCGTCCCTCAGCCCTCGTGTCTGACGAAAAAAGACGCAGGACAGGAGCGTGTCGGTCACAGCAACGTACATCGGGGTAGCTTCAGAGCCTTCCAACTCGTGAGGTTGGTGCCCCCATTTATCTCTCGGGCGACCACATCGAACGATTCTGGCCTGTCAACTCTTTGGACTTTAGTATGTCTTCCAGCTGACCCAGCTTAAAAGTCATGTTTGACTCTTTCTTCGATGATGTCGTTCGCAACGACCTGCGAATATGGCCCGGCGGAACCTTTGGCGCGGAGCTCAAAATGACCTGCGACTGTGGCACGAAGCTCGGCTCGGCCTCTGCGGATGGAAATTCGCACTCTCGTTGGTAGTGCTCACACAAGACACACCGCGTAGCTCCCTCGAGTACTAAACACCCACCTCCAATGCTTGTACACGCGCTGCAAGGGTTTCTCTTCCGCGATTCTTCGGTAGACAGTGAAGCCACTTTTTTCTCCTTGGCATCAGAAGCAGGTTTCCCCTCATCACTGCCCGACGCACTGAGCACAGTCTCTACCGCTTTCCGAAGTACTCCCCGATTTCCTCGAAGCGACGGATAAGCTTGAGCTAGCGCCCAGCCAAGAGAGTTCCAGTTTTCCTCCGTATCCAGATCCTCGTGGCCCTTCCTAGAAATGAGAGCACCTGGATAGATGCAGTTTTGGAGCTTGGCGCCATGAGACAAAGGCTCACAGTTGATTGTCTCGAAGCCGGGATGAATGTTGTACACTGTTTGGACGCCATTGCGAGTGTACTCGAATGTAATGTAGCGTACACCCTTCTTTTCTTGATGTAGATCCTCCAGGGATTTGAGGTGATCGTCTGAGCGAATTGAGACTGGCTTTTGATCGCTGGGCTCCACCTTCTGCGAGAATTTTGTATCCTTGAGCATCTCTGGGGATAATGCATGTTGCTTCAGCAGATTCTCATACACTGGAGACATCTCGCGTTGCTTCAGAAGCATTTCATCCACCGGAGACATCGCACGTTCCTTTAGAAGTATCCAATCCCCTTTCAACGTCATAGCGTCGCTTTTCAAGTCGTCTTCTGACTCTTTACCAGGGTCAAAACCAGAAGGTAGTATGGAGACAGCGATATCTTCCATGTGATGCGCTATATGGCGTGATAGAACTTCTTGGTCTCCGGTAGTAAACTTGACACAAAGCGGGCATGTCACATCATAGACTCGAACGTCCATACCATGACAGTCTTTCAAATGCGTCATCAAACCCTCGCCATCTTCGTAGAACACGCGAGTGTCGGGGCATTTGGGAAAGAAACAAGTGTATGCCAGAACGTCATTATAGATGTGCTTCCTAGATCAAGGTTATCAGTTTTGACGTACTGTGGATAGTACTGGAGTGGGTAGCATTGGAATGAATCAACTTACCTCCATGCGGTGGTTGCTCTGGATCGCACGTCCTTTCCGCAGATATGGCAAGTTTGGATTGACAATGAGGGCGCTCGCTTATGCCTTGCTGCTCTACTTTCAGATAGCATGGAGGGCTCGTGAACAGGCTCTGTCTCGACTTTCACGGCTGATGATGCCTTTGCAGAGACATCGAGACCAGATTTATGGGAGTTATCTCTTATCTTCTCCATCGTAGTCATTACAATCTCCTGTTGGGTTGCTTCTCGTTGTAATTGAAGGATGTGATTGTATCGATCCCAGTTTAACGACCCTAATCGCGCGACAATGTCTGGTGGTGCGAGAGGCAACATTTTCGCAACATTTCTGGCGTAGGTTTCTCCTGGTAAAGTCTCGTCGACGTCTTGAATAGCTCGAAGTTCCTCCTCGTCGGATATTTCTGCTGTTGGTGAGGCCAGGCTAGGTGCCAGCATGACAAGCGTATCGATCTTCGTACGAAGAGCCTGGCATAGCATTTCCGCGTCCTGTTCAGGGAAATAGGTGAAGCCTTGTTGTTGGCCATAGTTCGTGACGTGTTTTAAGAGTATCGAAATCCCGGTCGACTGTAAAATTTCTTCTTGCCGCATTCTAGTCATGACTAAACCTATCAAAGCTGTTCCGTGTTAGTTGAACTCCCATATAGTCTCCCTGATACTGTACACTTACAGGTGCTGACAAAGCGGGCGATCGATACAAGAACTGTGATGCATGTACCGCGCAGATGAGGAGAGTATTGAAGCATGTCATCGAGCTTTCCCTGTGGCAATCCAAGGTCGTTGCCCCAGAAGAGTAACGCTGCGCAGGTTGCCTCTAAAGAGTTGTAATGTCTAGCTTCACTAGATTGGCTCCTGACCTCTTTTATGATGAGCCCCAGCGTCTGTGTGAGAGATCTAAATAGTGACCCAAGGATTCCTGGCTCCTGAAGTCCGACGTTCTGCACAGTGTCCAATGCGAGCGGTTGTGGGTTCTGGTCGTCGTCTTTTGTCAAAGAAGAGTGAGCTGATCTAGCTTTGCTACTCCCAGCCTTTTCCTCCACTTCTTGGCATTGGGGTTGAGCGTCGAAATAAGGCGTGAGCTTTTGATCTGAGGTCTTATGTACGAGTGACCCAATGTCATGTACGAACAGGGGATACAGCGACTCGACGATCTTTTCCGTGTTCGCTAACTCCAAGGCGCGCTCGAATGGAATCCAAACGCCTTTGAAATGTGTTGGCCCGAGCTTGACCGTGTGTCTAATCTTCTCACTCTTTAACAAAGCGCCTTTGCGGCCTGCTGTCATAGCAGTCAACGTGAGCAGCTTGGTGCCGTTGATCATGTGATTATCGTCACGACGAGCTACGCAGACACCTCCAGTCTCGACTTGATAACAGAGGCAGCCTTCATCTTCCCAAAAGACTGTAGTAAATCTAGGCGACAACCCTGGAGGAGCGATTTGGCCTGTGCGATCGAAGGGGACTGGTAGATCGTTTTTTGGAACAGGATCGGAGAAGGTATGGGCGTCTGAAGACCTTGCCAGTGGTTGTGTCGTTGACGAGGTTTTCGATTCGCTCGCTGGCGACGACGCGGTGTCTTGTGCGCGTTCCTTTGCATTCTGCCGGCGCTCGCCCACCAACCCGCCTTCTTCGGCCGCTGATGCATCACGACGGCCTTTTGGTGGAAGCATGAGTAGCAAGTACTTGGATCACCCCGATCTCCATGCGTGGTCTTTCTCCGGTGAGGCTCCTGGCTATCATAACACGCGCTTTCTCTGTTCAATGTCAGTCTTGCGTCGAAGGTGTGCAACGAGCTTGTCGTTGGCGATCTGCACTTTGCGAGCGTTCTGCGCCCCTGTTCAAACGACTGCGTCGAAATTGATTAGAGCCTTGCGGGAACTGTCAGTAGATGCTCAAACGCAGGAAGATGATGGATTAGGATACGCGTACCAGCTGAGATCATGTTTTTTTTTGCCAGGATGCCGACGCGGCTGAGCCGCCACCTGCTGCGCATTGGAGGGGTATGCGCCTATCGCATTGGGGGCCAAACTGCGCCTCGCTCAGTCAGGAGTGCGACTTGCCAGGCTCAACAACTCCAATGTCTTTTGAGACCCATCTTTCACACCATGTCCGGCATCGAAATCGCAGGTCTAGTCTTCGGTATTGTGCCCATTGTTGTCGAGATTCTGAAGTCTTACGGCACAGCCAAGCGCAGATTGGCGACCTTCTCACGACACGCAGAAGTTGCATACGACATCCAGCTGAAATTCGAAGTAGCAGCAGCGAACTTTGGCAACGAATGCCGCCTTCTGCTGCAGTCTACCATTGCCCATCCGAGCGATGTCTCTGAGATGATGGAGGACCCGACCCACGAGAGCTGGCAGGAACAAGGCAAGGAGATCGAGCAGCGACTGCGAAACTTGATGCAGCAAGATTACCAGCTATGCCAGGATATAGTAACGCGACTACGCGATATCCTTCGCGAGACACGAAACTGCCTGTCCAAGCTCGATAACAGCCTGGGCAACGCGAAACAGTCGCAACACGAGTTCGCACGGAAGCTCTGGAATGGCTTCAACACAGCTCGCAAGGAGAATGAATACCTCCAACAGCTCGATTCGTTGGATAGGTGGAACAAGTCGCTGGGCAAGTTGTGTAAACAGAGGCGCAAGATGCAGAAGCGTCGCAATATTCCTTCGGCTTGCATCATCCGCAAAGCCGTGCCAAGGAGCTACCAGCAGATCCGTGTCGCCTCACAACAATTGGGAGAGTCGATCCACGACTCCTGGTCTTGCACCAACACCTCGCACAGTGGACATCAGGCCAAGCTATCGCTGGACGCTAAAAGTGAGCATGACAACGTGCAACTTGATGTTGTGATTGCTTGCCAGCCAAAATCGGACACCGCGATTCAAAGGTATGTCACAGCAGACCTAGGAACGTCTTTCGCAGTCCGCAAGACAAGCAAAGACTTTGCCTCTAACGACAATGTGTAGTCTCTCCACGGACGTACCAATATGGCTACAAATTCGCTCCATTACATCTCTCGCGATATGCAGGGTACCGACACCCTCTCCGCCAGCGCTAGCGAGTGTAATACGTAGCGGAACTAATGATGCATCGCGCGTTGAAACCCAAGCACCGCCCATCAAAGCCAGATCAAGGAAGAGAGTGCGAATCAGCGATGCCAAAGATAACGTCAGGTCTGTTCGAACGCCCGAATCAAGCAGTACGGTAGCAACACAAGCTCAGTCCTTCGTCATGTTGGACTTGAAGACAACCAAAAGTGTATGCTGCCATGTGACGCGGGTGCGCTCGTCTTCGTCAGCATGCCAAGATGGTTGTGTAGGATTTCTCGAACTTGCGAAGAGTCAGCCAACAACCCGCTTCATGTTCTACGATGCCAGCAAACTCGCGACCAATGATGTTTTTGCTTGCACTAGGCGACAGGGATCATTACCCATCAGAGGGCTCGTGGAACGCTTCCAGATATTGCAAAAGATCACACTTGCGCATAAACTGGCCGAGGCTGTTCTCCAATATCACTCAACCTCTTGGTTGCCGCAGGCATGGACTCTGCAGGATGTAGCGTACTTCACGAGCCCATCTCATGCGGATGCGAGCGACATGACCAATGCACTGGACAGCTTACATCTGAGCAAGTACTTCCCTGACCACGCCCCGTTAAATCTCGAGTCACAGCAAACAACGCTTGATCTCAAGCATAACTTCGGCATCCGTAACCTCACCCTGGCCAAACTCGGAGTCGCATTGTTAGACATATGCGCCCAGTCAATAATCATGGCACCGGGGCTAGATGGAACACCCCAGTCACGTGACATCATCGAAGCGAGAAAGCTGCTTGATGAACAACACCATTCAATCACGACGCTAGGCCCTCGCTACCTGGAGGTCGTTCGCAAATGTCTGTATTGCGACTTCTCTTGCGATGATGATCTTCATGGCAAAGCACTCCAAAGTGCAGTGTACACCGAGGTTGTGTGCACTTTACAAGACATGAAAATCAAGTGGAAGAAAGTGTTCGGTCTATGAAGAATCGCGATAGATCCAGCGCGTAACCTTTTGGGTCGATGGAAGGGTAAAGAATACCATTGACCCTAGATGTGCAGTTCACTGCGCATCAGGTCAATGATATGCACAACGAGACCGGCGACGCGTTCTTAGACGGAATCTGTCGCTATTGCACCACATTCGCCGCCGTGTGTTTTGCTACATGCAACATTAACGGGACTTGCTCAGCCTGCAACCGCACAACGAGATGCTTCGAAGAGGACGAAAGAGGAAAATCTTGAGAGAGGCGTGGGGAAACGTGAGTCGCGAAAGCCCGCCTGCGCCGAACAAGGCCAGGTCAGTCTCTGATTCAGAGGAAACCCCTCTTGGCTGGCTTATCCTGGCGGGGATTTGGGGTCGGAAAGGGAAGCGGGGTGATCATGGCCGGCAAGCCCGGGCTTCTAGACGATGGCTCGTTCTGGACTACGCCAACCCGCAATGAACGAGAATCGCTGCCAAAATACTTATTGAATGTGTCGCTCATATCCCCAGCACATTGAGCTTAGCTACTGAAGCAGACAGCTTGGTGGCCAAGCGTTTGCAGGATAATGTGAAACGATTTCAAGAAATCGCGGCATCGCGAGTGATACATTGACTCGGTCTATATTGCAGCGATCGGCCATTTTCCCCCGGGTTGCGAGGCCCGGCAGCCAGGTCGTGTGATCGTTCAAATGTTCTCGAATGCCACGTAAAAGTTTTAACTGCGTCGCGGTAATCCTCCTACGATCCGTGTTTCGAAAATGCCAGAGAGGGTAAACATCACTGACACGCGAGCTGACCGATTGACAGCGGGCACTAAAGCCCTGGATCAATCTCCGATGCACACTGCCGCTCACCGGTGCCAAAACCGTACCAGGCTAGGGAAAAGTCATGTGAAGAAATTGCTAGACCTCAGGAGCGATGGGCTTTCTGCACCAACGAAGATTGCTACCACTTCTTCGATGAGCGCGACTTTGGGAGATTCCAGACAGCTCTATCGCGCACGAACGTTGACGTTCACTGTGTGATCCAGTGTATTACAGGTCGTGGAAAGGGGACCACTTCGTGGCATGGCATAGAACGTGGGGTAGTATGACGACACATGTCAGAGTGGGGCAAGCAGTCCTCCACGAACGCCGGTTTCAAGTCATGACAACAGTGCTGGTGCAGCCGAGATTTGAGCATTTTGCTAGTATTAATCATGACTGCATTGGGATATCCCTCCGCTGTGATAAATCATTCGTACATCCTGGCAAAGCGCGTAGAAAGCTTGTCTAGCTGGAGACCGCTGATGCCCGACTGCGTATTGGCAGGCAAAAGGCTTCAGGAGCATCAAACATCGCGACTGGCCGTGCACCATCCACATTGGGAACTGCCCTCGACACCATCGTCTATCCTCCTCCCTGAAGCCCTGAAAAAAGCGTTAGCTCACAACGCAAACCGCGAGGCGCACTCACTTACGACCGATCGCATTTGTAACCTTGTTTCCGAGCAGGAGCTGCATGATGGCCACGCTCACTGAAATTGTGCCAATCGCGATGCTCGTCCATGTATCTTTAGTCGGCCATGCGACCACGCTAGAGGCGGAAGCTCCAGCCACGGAAAGGAGCATGTTCTCTTGACATATCAGACAGCAAAGGTTTTGGACTGATGTGCAGCTCATGATACGTTCGGTAAGTGCGCTTGGTATGTGAATGGTGGTGACGGTGAATGCGGTTCCGTGATCGGCCTACGGGAGGAGGCTCGATGGAGAAGCAGTGCATATATGTACCTAGATCCCTTGGTGGCCACGGCAGCAATCCCGACGATTGCAAAAGGTGTCGACTGCTACAGGATACTCACGATACGCAGGTAGCCAGGGATAAAAGGTTGCGCATAAACTATCAATATCCGTTTGTTCGGGTTTCTTCAGTTACTGCGAAAATTGTAAGGAGCGTGGTAACTTGTCAGGCAGGGCTTGATTAGCGTCGGTCATCTTGCAGGTGGGCATGCAGGTGGGCGGGGGTGCGAACTCCAAGGCAAGCGCACCCCATCCCATCTCCACGAACAGAGACAAAACGCCCTCCGCCGACGCAACAGCGGGTACCCTTGCGAATAATCCTTGCGAACGTCTCTTGCCGGCCAGTTCACAAGTCCGATTCGTTTATCGTGCCTGTCGATCTTCTCGCTTGGCTCCCTAGTTTCAGGCACCGTCATACCTTTACATCCGTGTCTCCGTACTGAAGATGCGGTAGAAATGCGCAATGTCCACGGTTTTCCACACTCCATCTTGATAGACCGTGCGTGTCTCGTCATGTACGCCACTTGGGCGGTCTTCTAACATGAAGCTCGCTCTGAACCAGATGTGCAGCAGCCGTACTGGATGGTCATCATTGCAAAGTCCAGCATACTTTGCAAAGATCTCACACGGTAAGGAGTACTGGAAGCAGATTTCATTATGCGTTGATATGTTTGGGAGCTTTTGCAACCTTTCATGTGTATTGCAAGACCTTCGTTACAGTATAATACTTCTCATTGTTTCGCCCTTCAACGCGGTCTTGCACTCAAGTCAGCCTTCATCTACATCGTCGACCAGACATTCTACTACTGTCTAACATACTACTGCATTTACGCTTACATACCGCAACCTTCTTCGCTGCCCAAGATCTTATTACTTCGTCTTCAACACACTGATCCAGCCTCCAACATGGCTTCTTCCTCTTCGTTCAACAACGAAGGCTCCCTCGTTTCGTCTCCACCAGCCATGAGCGAAGTTTCAGACTTCTCACAGAATGCTTCCCAAGAGCCCGAGTACGGAAGACACAACACCTCTTCTCCTGCTTCTTTCTTTCATCACGGAGAGAACCAGGGCATGGACGCCATGATGAACGACCTTCCCGACATGGCTGGGTCAGAGCCGAATCTCATCACCAACACTGGAAGCAGTTTTATCGCTACCCTATCTCTCTCTCTAGAATTCCAGACCGTATTGGATCTTCTAAACAGAGGAACAAACCCAAACAACATTGTCAAGTACGTGGAAACCTATAACACCATGGCGGACTCTGGCAACTTGAACGACCTCGCTATTTTAGCTGGGCTTCCTACGGATGATCTCGCGAAGATCGTTCTAGACGTCGGTAAGATCAGACACCATTATACTATGATTCACACTAATCCTCGCTAGTCAATCTCTTGGTTTACCCGACCGCCGTCAACCCACTCCCGACCTTCGACCCACTCCCGACCTTCGACCCACTCCCGACCGCGAATTCACTGCCCACTGTGGAGTCACTGCCGACCTTCGAGCCATCCCCAACAGCCGAACGCGACTCCGCCGACGAGTGCACAGCCCCGCGCTCAGAAACCTCGAAGCCAGCATCTGTGTCTCGAAGAGGATGCCCGGGTGATAACTGGGGTTGTCAGCCCGATGAGCTCAATGCGGGCAAGAAAAAGCTAAATGGGGGCAGGAGGTTTTGGACTTCGTGCAAAATGTTTTGCGTACATTTCAGGGCCGAACACCTCGAGGAATGTCGCGATGGCTACAGCTGGCAATGCCCGCTGAACTCGTGTGATCGGGTATTCGGCGGGGATGGGGATGGGCTCATGAAGCACCTGTATCATGAGCACTGGCAGTGAGAACGCGATCGCGGAGAACTCGAAGCTAGTCTCTGATAGACGGCTGCACGATACTCACGCCTCTTTCCTTGATCGACTTCTGCCACCATGTCTTTCTCTTCGTACACAGACCTGAGGTCATGCTCGCTACAGTTCCTACTCTTTCCCCATCTCGTCTCCTTTGGTCACGGTCGTTACAGTATATCATGTAGAAAATGCTACTCTTTACATCATCAAACATGCTTCTTTACGCTAGTTCGTTGGCCATAGCTCGTGAAACTTATCGCAATCTGGTACATCATGCCGATCTGGGGAGGTGATATACATTGAAGACATCACTCAAGCGTCGTGTAATTTGCTTCGTAGTCCTCACGCCACATTCTCAGACGCTTCCGCCGTTGTGGCCGTCGGTGAAACTGGCTATTAGAAACATGCGATGCAATAGCTGTTGAGTAGACCACCAGATCAACGTTGTCGCCCATCCACATGCTGAGGCTTCTACGCATACTGCCTCCCCTTCCTCAGCGGCGCAACATCGCCATCCAACCGCCCAATCCCCAACCTCCCGATCGCATTCTCTCCCTCCACATCCCCAAAACGAATGCGCACATGTCGCATGAACCGCGATCGGTCAGCGGCGTCGAGATGCGTTCCCGTAGCCGGCAAAGCTACATAGGGGTTATCCCTAGTCGCCAGACTGGAGAAGTTCATGAGTATATCCGGGCCACACGAAAGCTTCGTCCGGACGTAGAGAGGAACCAGGCTCGCCATGATGAGAATAGTGGAAGAGATGATGAGCGCCACGACCCATTGGTAGTGGGCGTGAAAGACCTCGACGTTGCTGCGTTTTGTGCCCGTCGTAGCCCATGTTCTTGCTAAACTATAGTGGTCATAGTTCCATGTCGACGATTGGCCCGCCCCGGGGGACTGAAAGCTACAATTTGAGGTCTTTCCAAATGGACAAATGTAGATGTTTGGCCCAGTGGAGCTGATCAGTTGGCTCCCATCCTGGTACTTCCAGGCGATGGATTGATCCAACCAGGTCGTGTGCTCGTTGAATGCGCCAGTGAAAACGCTTTTGCCATTCATGGTTGCCCAGTATGCATTGAGCATCTGTCCGATTCGTATTCCAGCGGCTTCGGCAGTTGTTTCTCCCTTCGATGTCCGTAATTGGTTTCGCGGGTCTGTTGGGTCCTGGACGTAACCTTCAGAAAGCAGCCCCGAAGACGATTCGATCGCCTTCTCCCACATAGTTTCATTATCCCGATATATCAGCCCTAATTGCGTGTACGCCACAGGCGGGTGCTTGAGAAGGGAACGGCGAACATGCGATGCCGAACAAGTGGTGTGTGACGCACACGAGACTTCGACCTCGACGTATGCCGTTTCCAGTGTACAAACGAATGGTTTATAATCAGACTGAGGCTCCGCTCTTGTTTTCCAGACGAAACTGAAAGGCTTCAAATCCTCAGCGGAACGTCTAGATCGTTCCACGGTGTTCTCGGTCCAGTGTAGATTCCCGATCCAACTTGAGTGATTGTATTCGTCGTCCGGGAATGAAACATTAGAACATCTCGGATGAAAATACATGGCCTCGATCTTGGCTGCGTAGTCGGCGTAATCTGGCGAGTCTAAGCCACTCATCGGCACGCCAATGAATGAACTATAAGAGTCGCCCGTGCCGTTGTTGGTCGTATACCAGCCTTCTTTGTCGGCATTGGACGTGCTCTCATAGTGTTCGATCCTGGGGATTTTGACATGGCCCCATGCATCACGCGGAGAGGCTTCTTTGGTAGCTGGGCTAAGAAGTGCGGCCACGTAGAAGCTGTTCAAAATCGACTCGGTTGTGAATTGGTCAGGTGCCCACATACCAGGTCCGGGTACGACATAAGTGTAACTTGCGCCCTCGGAGTGCTGTTTCGGACCGAAAGTTATCTGTCTAAAAGACGACTGACCACCCACAGGAGATAGCATCCAGATAGCGACTAAGCCCAGACCTACGTAGCTGACCGTCCGTAGGTGAAATTGTGAAGCAACAGTACTAGTGAGAGATGTACTACCAGCTAGTATGTCCAGGGTCGAAATACGTTCGCCCCTCTCAAATCTCCATAGCAGAATCGCATGGGTGGCTCGCCCAACAACCGAAGCAAAGAGTATGGGGTAGATCGTCGGGCCCTGGATCCAGTAAGTAGCTTGATGGCGAGATCTGGAAGCTTTTGACTCACCCAATTCGAGGCCTGCTCGAATCTCAGAGCTGCTCGTTGATGAGAGCTTGTTGGCTTTTGATCGAATGAGAGGACCAAGACGGCGAAAACGAAGAAAGTAAATGACATTGCCAGTAGTGATATGTCGACAACGAGATACCAGATCAGTAAACTGGTAGAGATTTCGACCGACCGCGGTGACGTTGGCCAGCCTTGGAGGGCTCGCAAATGCGTTTCTTGTGGCACTTCATCGGTAAGCACAGAGCCTGGAGGCGTGCTGCTTTTGTCGAGCTTGTGTGCGCCATCGGTGCTAGCTTCTGAGTCGAGAGGAAGTGGGTCATCGCGGTAGGGGAAATCCAGTATTGATAAGTCGGTACTGACTTGCGACTCGAATGAGAGCCGTCCGTGGCTGAAGATGGAAATGGATGCGACCTCGGAAGTGCTGTTCTTCTGTGGATTGTCTTGTCTAGCTGCCATGGCGGAGAAGCGAGTTGAACAATCCCGATGATGCCAGCATATGTGCTCTGACGCGAGGGGCGAGCGGTCTGTGACCGAGTGTATTCATAATGACAGGTCAGACTGAAGGCTGAGCACGTGCGGGCTGCATCATGCTGTGGTGTAACATTGCGTCCAAGAAGGATTGAATTACCCTGCGAATCGAAGAGCTGTATCATCTCTAACCGATTGCTTGGCTTGTGGTGAGTATTACACACAGCCTCGAGGGATTGCTGCTGACGAGTGGTAGATAAGCTAGAAGGCTGTGCAATCTACCGAAGGCGTTCCATACTGATACGAAAACGCCAATCTGCCGTAAGCTGACAGACATGAATTTTCAATTCATCGTAGAGCCAGCACGTTGAGGCGGTATTGAGAGAGGGACGTGGTAGTTGTAGTGGTGATGATGATGATAGGGCCTAGGTGCCGAGCGACCTCAGAGTTGGGCGCCAAGCTTCTGGACTCCCCGCGTGCTAGTGGCTCCCACCATCTGCGCGATTTGCTAGGCGATGCTATAGCGATGCTGCAACATGTCACACCTTGGCGTCTGTGTAGTAAACTACAAGAGTAGGGGATAAGATGCGTCGCGACGGGGTGCTCTTGCAGTGGTATCACGTGACCCTTGGCACTCCGACAGCCCGATGGTCTAGCCTCTTCAAGCCTTAGCTTGTGCGAGCAGCTGAATCGCCGAGCAACCGACGCGTCCTGGTGTCTTCTTTCAACTCACTACCATCACGATATCATACCACTGGATTCGCGACGACCGGGTACAGACTGCGCTCTCACATCATGTCGCAAAAAGATGGTGACCGGTATTGCGCACCACGCGAGGCCTCCTGCCTGGCAACAGATGGCAGGCTGGTGACGGGCGCGCGATAGGCTCCGTCTGGCCCAATAACGCCACAAATGATGTACACCATATGCAGCCCCCGCATCTCTCGACAGCCTGCATACAGATCCCGCTGTCTTCAGCTGAGGCTCCTCAGCTCTCGATGCACAACTTATTATGACCTGTTTGGGTTTGACGATGCCTTTTCCACCTCGCAACCACCGTGCGATAATAAGCCAGGAGCCAGCTTAAAGAAGGTAACCGACCTTTTTCCTCAATGTCGCAGAAGCGTCTCGATGAGTACCGAATCTGTCGGTCAAGCATGGTCACCAAGGCATCTACCTACATGTGTGTTTCGCGATGGCGCGTTTCCCTTCTGACATGCTGCCGCATCACGTCGGATGCATGAAAAGGAATTCCATCGCCGTATTCGTGGGCGATATTGGATGCAGATCTTGGCTGCATCAGTCACCTTCAGCTGAAAGCCGTGGGCTTGCACGCCATTCTCCTGGGAACACGATATATGGTCGCGAGGTCCCATGGTAAGTCGGCTTCCGCATCAGCACTGACGCAGACTCAACCTCCCAAACGTTATCAGAACAGCGAACATCAAGCGTCTCAATAACTCGATCGAAAAGATGGCGGTAGGCTGGGAAGTGCGATTGGGAGTGCTGATCTTGCTGTGAGGCTTCACATTCCCCAATAAGTCCGGCCTACTGATTGCTCTTGTCAAGACTATCTCTCCAAATCCTCGCTCTTGCGACCGACCTTGGTGTATTCAAGCCGCGAGACAGCTCAAACACAGGAGACTCCACCGAGAAATCGTCAGGGCCAACTACAAGAACTTCTCGTGTTGTCTCTCAGATCGTCTCCCTGAAAAAGGCAACGACATGGTTTCTGAACATGACCGACATACAAAGTCTTGTTGCTCCGCTTCTCTCGGTTGCTGTCGGCGTAGTGCTTATCTCCATCGCGTTCTCGAATACTGGCAAAACGTATCGCGGCACGGATGCAGAGTGCAACATCAACCTTGATGCTGACATCAGTGGAGATGGTGTGCGCGCGTCAATCTGGGCTCAGATTGGGGTGCTCATCTTCATTAGCGCCATAGGGATGTTCCATCCATATGATACCGGAATTAAAGAGGTCGCAGGTGGTCTTGTTCTTACCCATACATCTCTTGTCATCGCGCTGATCGTCCAGATGCACCGCGGTGCATTGACGTCCGTCGACGCTGCGGTCGGTGCAGCAATCCTGGATGTACAGAATGTTGCTCTACAAATTCCGTTCTCCCATAAAGAGACCTTGGCAGCCAGATGGCAGGTCATTCTCATTATCCCAACGCAGATACTGGGTCTGACTGTGCTTCCATCCCTCGTTACCGGACTCGCGCGTGGAGATTTCGCGTCGGAGGGCTGCGAATGCCTTTTTATATTCTGGTGGTCATGGATCAGTGACTGTGGCGACAGCTCCCGCGATGACAATGAGCTTTCTTGCTTCTACGTCTACTATTCACTCCGTTGGGTTATGGCCTTGCGATTGTCCTGCGAGGTACTGTACAAAGCAGGCCGATACCATCGAGCCGAGAAGAGTGCGCGCCTAGAGATTCCCTTGACCGACGAGGAGGCAGCAAAAATGTCGGCAGAACAGTACAACGATGTTCCCGGTACAATTTCGTTGTCTTACTTGATCTGCGGGTTGTATTCACTTACCTCCATGACCGTTGCAGAGATGACAACCAGGAACTTCGAGCTTCCTACGAGCTCCAGCGTGTCCTCCGTCGGTCAGATCATCGCCATCGTGATCGCTGGATCGACAGTACTTCGAGCTCTCTGGGAGTTCGTCGGCATGTTCAACGAGGAAGCTACGAAAGGCTTCCCAGATCTGATCTTTACATTGTTGCGGCGTCTACATGACTACTTTATGGCCTCAAAAACGTGTGGGGAAAAAGACCCAGAAGAGGTGGAGGAAGTAGTACCATATCATACCTGTTCACGACCGCAACGAAATCACTTCAGCGAATCGCAGCCTTCGCCATCATCTGATGTGCACATACCGGAAATCGCCGCAGGTGCAGCAGGAATATCACCATCACAAGCTTCACTAGAATCACCACCACGCCCACAACAATCACCGTCACCACCACCGTCGCCGCCACCACAAGCTGAGCAAACAGAATATTTATGGTCAACATCGCGAACAACATCATTCTCATCATCAGTATCCTCACGTGGGCGCCACGGCACGACACATACAGAAACGCACTACCTCCCAGCAGACCAGCGATACCGCTTCACATTCCGTAATCCGTTTCGACTGGATCGGGGTCCAGTGTTTACGTCGAATGTGAGATGATGTCGGCAACGTAAAGAACGTATGAGGGGTGGAGAGGGGAACGATGGAGCAGAAAGGGGGGTGTGTGAGGAAAGGGGATTGTAGCCGAATACGTGCATACCACGACGGCATCAGTAGCACATGAGATTTGCATCGCAAGCTTCAGATTAAAACTTTATTCGCAATGGAAAAAACTTCTTGCTGCCAACCAACGCACTATCGGTCCGGTAGCACTGCTGAAAACCCCCAATCAGCGATCCTTACGCGCAGTAGCAGACCACCAAATGAATCTCCATGGTAATCTTACACAAACCCCCCAACTTCCCCTTCCCCTTCCACTTCAACTTCCACGCTCACTTCCGTTCCTTATCCATCGCCAAAACCCTCTCATAAAACCTATCGAAACACTTCTCAAACCGTCCCGAGGGCCTACCCTTCACCCCCCGTGCAAACAAAGCATACTAGCGCTTCCTCTTCTTCTTCCCCTCATCCTCACTCGCATCAGCCGCCGCCTCTTTATCCTTCCTCGCCGCCTTCTTATCCAACTCATCCCAACTCTCTCCCTCGCTAAACTCATCTTCACTGCCCTCATCACTCATCTCCTCGGACGCGTTCTCGTCGAAATCGGATTCGTCGGAGGATTCGTCGGAGATAGCGAGTTCGGACTCACTAACCTCAAACGCAGACTCCTCTTCCTCCTCGCCATCACCCTCGTCGTCAGTTTCGTTAGAGAGGAAACTCCATCCGCCGTCGGCGAAGAACTGGTGGGGGTCCGACGTAACGGTTTTCATAATGGTGGCCCAGTTGAGGTTGAGGGGACCCTCTGTGAACGGGATATCAACACTATCCAACCAATCCTTGACGGGGTCGAGGGATTCGACGGGGATGGTGTTGATGTGGACGGGGGGCCGGTTGTAGTCCTTAAACACAACCACCATGTCGAAGTTCCTCAAACCAAACTGTACGCGTTCCAAGTGTACGATTTCGATCTCGGAGAGGGTGAGGCAGGTGAAGGGGGGTTCGGTGAGTTGGACCAAGCAGTCTGTTGTGGGTTGGACGAGGACGGAGGAGCGGGATGGGACACCGTTGAAGCCGAGTTCGCGGTAAGGGATGTCGACGCTGACGTTCTCGTTGCGGGCGGCGTCGGCGATCTTCTCGGCGAAGTTCTTGAATTCCTTGTCGAGAGCTGCGCGGCGGCGGCGCTCTTCTTGTTCTTGCTCGAATTCTTCTTCGTCGCCGAACTTGTGGCGCCGCTTGCGGTTGCCTGTCTCGTCGAATTGCATCTCTGTGGCTTCGCGGACGAACTGGACGTCCTTTGTCTTCTTTTTGCCCAACATTATTGGGTTCTTGAGGTGGACGTGGATGATGACGATGAGCTCGTGTTGTGAGGGTTGGAAGAAGAGGTGCTTCATGTTGCTGAAGAGGACGTCGATCTTGGCTGTGCCGTTGCCGTGGACGTATCGCAGACCGTTCTGGTGAATCTCGACACTTCCGGGAATCCGCTTGCCGTCGAGCGCGGGGCGGATGAAGATGAGGTCGAGCATGTGCGGCTTGCGAGTCTTAAGCGGGATAAGCTTGTCTTGCTCTACAACATCCTCCATCTGCTTCTTCTCAGTCTCCCTTCGCACGACGTCCTTCTTCAGCTCTGTGATGTCTTTGGTGATCTGGTCAATCCGGTCGACATCGTGCGACTTGAAGGTCAGACTACGAATGAAGTGTGCGTTGGGGTCCTCGAATGGCTGGTCGTCTTTTCGGCCAACACCCTGACCTGGTGAGAGGAAGTTGATACGGAGAGATGTGAAGTCCGCCTCGGGCGTAT